GCAAGTAAAGAAGTTTTATGGTCCTGATACTGGTGATCAGGGATAGTTTAAGTACAATGTCACTACTTTGTTACAGCAGAAACATATACTAAATTGACTAAGAGAATGTGGCAAGAGCCTAGTGCTCTCTGCTCAATATATATACAAAAGTGTGGCACATGCCAAGTGTGAGAGTCTCTATAGTTAATGACCCAGCCTGACAATGAGCAGGACTTGGTTGTTCCCAATCCTTAACAAGATCAGTTATCCCCAATCTCCGATCTCGTCATCTTTTCATCACCCATTAGTGTTGTCACTGGATTGTGTCCTTCAACATACATGTGTCACTTCATTCCACATATGCACATACAGACCATCAGTAGAAGCATATATACCTGGCATTGCTTTGGAACTAGTCTTCTCCTAGAATAATGATTTTGCTATCTACTTTGCCACCCTCGCTTGTGCATTCCTCAGCATTGTCAATCCAGATCCATACGCTGTTTTTTGCATTGAGCCGTGCCATTATCATCATCTGTTGCTGCTGCTGCTGCTGCTGCTGCTGCTGATGGTGGTGGATTGGACGCTCCAGTCGCCGAGATCGAGGGCAGCGCAGGCTGGACGCGATCGTTCCAAATCGGATTGGACACCACATTGAACTTCTCGAAGGTGGGTATCATGGCAAGAGTGGTCAAGATTTGCTCAAAGATGGCTCGGATCTTCAAAACGTCGAGGCAAGGATAGGTGTGCTTGTTGGTCACACCTCGGATGCAGAGTCGAGGGCATTCAGTGCCATTGATCATCTGCACTCGCGGGCGGGATCCTTTAGGTTTGCTGGCAAATGATGTTGAGGTGCCCAGGTCAAGCAGAACGCAGAGCAGAGCCCTTTCGGTGAGTGGCTTTTCACCTGGCGGTGCATGCAAGGCGCACATAATTGATGGTCCAGCGAGCTTGAGCATTACATCCGGCTTACCTGATCCGGCTCCTGGCTGCAGTTCGTCGCGATTCTTGGCCTCCCATGCAACGTAGGTCATGTAGTGTGTGGCGTGCATCTCGATGCTGGTGGCAGCATCATCCTGTGTGCCAGTGGGAGTAACAAAGGGCCGATCGAGGTTGCCCATAAAGACGGGGAGGATGCCGTCGATGCCATGCTGCGAGTGTGCCATTTGCAGTCCAACTCCATGCTTCCAACAGTACCACAGGTATTCGGGAGAGATCTCGGTGATATGTTCAGGCAGCACATCAAAATGCATAAAGTTGGTCCACGCCACTGTTGATGCTGCTACTGCCGATGTTCCAGCCCGCGGTCGTTGCAGTGCCGGACGGGTGGATGAGCCGTCCTGCTGCACTCTTTCAACGTGTTGGCGCAATTGGTCAGCATTGGCCTTGTCGAGGTTAGCAAGCTCTGAAAGGATGGTTTCGAGAGGCACCGTGCGGGTCAGCACCTTGACATGCTCTGATGTTTTCTGTTGCTTGAGCATGTCCAGCTCTTTGCACTTTGGTGCATCCCAGGCGACAACCAAGGCCATGCGCGAGGCTAGCTCTCCATACATCCCCTTGAATCCGGCGATTGCCGAGTCCACAAGGCATCGGCCTTGGAAGTTTCCCATGATGGAGCCGTACATGTCGACTGGCTTCGACCCAACATTTTTTGCGCCAGTGCACAACATGATGAGCGAGGCAGCAATTGCCAGCACGGGTTCCGACGGAGAATTGACATACATGGTGGCATCGTTAGATATGCGGCTCACCATACGCATGTGCCGGTCCACGGTCTTGTCCATGAAGAGCTTTTGCTCGCCAAAGAGGGCGCCACCGCCTTCATGCACCGGGACAAGGCCCAGGGCAAGCCGCGAGGCTGTCAGGGGTCTCGCGCCTGAAACCCAGGTCGGTCTGTTGAGATACTCGGTGACTATCAAACTGTGCGACAGCTATTGTCTCGAGATACTCGGTGACTATCAAGTTGTGCAGTGACAGCAGGTGGCGTTTGTTGTATATACTATCGTAGGTTTCGGCTGACCTCTGTGGACACTCCGTTCAGGGGTAGATCGGCACGATCAATATCAATGTTATGATGACACCAAGGTCTGGTGTGAGTGTTGATGATGATGAGGTTGATGGTGTTGGTGATGAGATTGGTGATGTCGATGATAATGAGGTTGATGGTGTTGGTGATAAGGTTGGTGGCGTCGACACGAGTGTCCAGTGTGTTGACTTGATGCTTGAAGTGATCCCCGGACCGCAGTGGACTACTGCCTTCGGTTCTATCTATATCCGGACCGCTAACCTGCTATGGGCGCCTTCGGACGTCAGGTAGTGGTGATACAACACACACACTACGATGAGGAGCAACCTTGATAGATTGCTGCTATGCTGACTGAAACTAATGTATACTTATGCTGAAGTGATAACTAGTTATGGTGAGTAGAGTGGATGGGGATCCACTCGACCTATGATGATGAGAAAGCATGGTTATATACCTCTTCACAGCATCGCCAGCGATGCTGCTCCTGCTCTCTCTCCAGAGAGTACTTTCTTCATCGAGTACTGCTCAGGGGCCTCTCCTGCTTGGCACCCCTGTGCCTCTTGAGTGGTGTCGACTCCTTCGACACTGCTCCTCCTCCTCATGACCTGTGTCGACTCCTTCGACACTGCTCCTCCTCCTCATGACCTGTGTCGACTCCTTCGACACTGCTCCTCCTCCTCATGACCTGTGTCGACTTCCTGTCTCTCGAGCCCCTGAGTGGTAACCATCTGAGCTTGGTCCTCCTCATGGCTGCGCCTGCTCTTTGAGCTTGGTCCTCCTCGTGGCTGTGCCTGGTCCTCCTCGCATATGGGCTCAGTGCTCCTTTGCATGTGAATCCATAGGAGTCCATGGTCTCCATGGAGACTGCACTACGACCATGCTCTCTACTGGTATCGACTAGGTCTTCGATACCTGTGCTCCATCCATATGAACCAGTGACCCTCCTGCTTCTTGAGCATCCAGGCCCATGACACTACCCCCCTCTTAAGAGCCGAGCTCCGTCGAGGCATGCTCTGGTCTGGTTCATGCTGACTCCTCCTCTTCCTTGACAACATCGCCCCCGTCATCCTTCCTCCTTCTCTCAACGTCATCCTCCTCTCTCTACTCCTCCTGTTCTCTCTTCCTCTCTCTACTCCTCCTGTTCTCTCCTCCTTTCCCTACTTTGTCTACTCACTTGTCCCCCCTCCGACACCTCATACTCCTGGATGAGGTCGGGACAGTTGAGGTTTTCTACTGGTTCCCATGAAGCAGCTTCTTCTGAGTACCCTCTCCACAACACCTTGTACTCTGTAGTCCCATTGTGTGAACGCTTGTCGATGAGTGCTTCGACTTCGAAGTCGAGGTCCTCATCTGGAAGTGGTGGCATGGTGGGCTGTTCAGCACGTTGAGGAAGAGAACTTGTTCTTGCTGGCTCGAGCATGGAGACATGGAACACATCATGCACCCTAAGGTTTGCTGGCAATGTGATTCGGTAAGCTCGGCGTCCTACCCGTTCCTGAACTGGGTAGGGTCCTGCAAACCGGGTATCCAACTTGGGTGTGGGTCTCCGTGTCTTCCAGTTTCGGCGGTTGATATAGACCATATCACCCACCTTAAACTCAATGTCCTTGTGCTTCCTGTTATACTGGTCTACTGATCTACGTTGTGCCTCTCTGATCTGCTCCTGGAGGTACTTGCAACGCTCCTTTCCATCCATGAGGTACTCGAAGCGACCTGGATCATTGACTCCTAGTCGTTGAGGGATGTCAGGATGAGCTTTGGGGTTCCATCCATAGCATGCAAAGAATGGTGAGACACCAATGCTGTTGTGGACCGTGTTGTTGTATACAAAGGCCGCAGTGTCCAGCAGGTTGGCCCAGTCATTCTGCTCATAGTTGCAGTACATCCTGAGATATTGCTCTATGACCTGATTGACTCTCTCTGTCTGACCATCAGTTTGAGGATGGTAGGCCGTGCTAAGTGAGTGCTTCACACCCATTTGCTCTGCAAATGCCTTCCATGCTCCTGATATGAACTGCCTGCCTCGGTCCGAGACCATGTGATCTGGATATCCAAAGAGTCTAACCATGTGTCCATATAGCAATACTGCAGTCTGTTTGGCCGTGACTGTCTTATGGGTTGGAGCTAGTATGGCAAACTTGGTTAGCCTGTCGACAATGACTAAGATAGAGTCATAGGTCTTGGAGTCATACTTCTTCGATGTTGGTAGTCCTTCGATGAAGTCGAGGGATATGGAGCCCCAGGGCCTGTCTGGGGTTGCTAGTGGCTGTAGCAAACCATATGGACGATGACGAGGAGCTTTGTACCTAGCACATACAGGACAACTTGCTACATAGTCTGCAATCCAAGCTGTCATGTTTGGCCACCAGTAATGTCGTTGAGCTGCCTTGATGGTAGCATCTCTTCCTACGTGTCCAGCAGTGATACCATCATGGCATTGGGTCATCACCATGAATCGCAGATGCTCTACAGAGAGAGACTGTCCATCTACCTCTTTGGCACTCCTTGAGTGTCGGTTGTTGGTCCTCCCTGGCATGATCACTTTGGGGATAACCAACCTTCCTCCACTGTACCATAGGTCATCCCTGACCTTGAAGGGCTTCTTCCTATGTATCTCCTGTAGCTCTTGGTCTAAAGGCTGGAAGATCTTGACCAGGTCTTTGAGACCTTTTGATGCTATGGACTCCATCGAGATCATGGGGGCCACTAGGAGCGAGTCATGGTCTGCTGTCTCCTTGAACACTCGAGGAGGCAGTAGTTGCCTCACATTGTGATCCTGCTCTTCACCGGCTGGTTGCATGTCTGTCCTTCTGGTGAGAGCATCGGGTTCACCACCTTTGTCTCCTGGTCGATACTGCAATATGAAGTCGAAGTCTGCTAGTAGTATTGCCCATCGAGCTTGTCGACCTGTGATGCGTCTCTGTGACTTGAAGTACTTGAGGGCTTCATGGTCAGTGAGGATGACCAGTTGGTTCGGTAGTCCAGCTAGCATGTGTCACCACTGAGTGAGGCAGGCGACCACAGCTAGGAGCTCCTTATCATGGATCTCATAGTTCTTCTCGGCAGAAGACATCTTCCTAGAGTAGAAGGCCACTGGATGCCATCGTCCTTCATGCTCCTGCTTGAGTACTCCTGCTATAGCAAAGTCACTTGCATCAGTCTCCAACCTTGTTGGAAGGTGGTAGTCGAAGTGCTGAAGCACTCCTGCTGATGTGAAGGCCTGGATGAGCTTGTGGAAGGCCTGTTGGGCCTCCTCTGGTAGCTCGAACTTCTTGAACCGTTCTATAGGCTTTACCAGTGCTGTCAAGGGCTTGGCTATGCGAGCAAAGTGGGCTATGAACCTTCGATAGAAGTTGGCAAAACCCAGGAACCTCTGGATGTCATGGATTGACTCTGGCATTGGCCACTCCTTGACAGTGCGCACCTTTTCTGGGTCCATCTCTATGCCCGTTGGCTTGATGATGTACCCCAGGAACTCAACTGTCTTGGTGTGGAACTCACACTTTGACAGCTTAGCAAAGAGCCTGTTGCTCCTTAAGCGAGTGAGGACCTCGGTGACATGCTTCACATGTACCTCTTCAGTGTCACTGAAGATCAGGAAGTCATCTAAGTATACCACTACATATACTCCAATGATGTCTCGGAAGATGTCATTGATGAATGACTGGAAGTGAGCTGGAGCATTGGCTAGGCCAAAGGGCATCACTAGGTACTCATAGAGTCCCAACTGAGTGCCAAAAGCTGTCTTCCATTCATCTCCTTTAGCAATCTGGATGAGGTTGTATGCTGCTCTAAGGTCTAGCTTGGTATAGATCCTTGCCTTCCTGAGTAAGAACAGCTGCTCCTCGATGAGGGGCAATGGTGCCCTGTTCTTGACAGTGATCTCGTTGAGACCTCTGTAGTCCACACAGAGTCTGAGACCTCCATCCTTCTTTGGTACGAAGAGCACTGGTGATCGTGCCGGGCTCTTCGATGGTCTTATGAACCCCTTCTCGAGGTTCTCATCCAAGTACCTCCTCAACTCGGACATCTCCTTGGGTCCCTTAAGGTATAGGGGCCCTTGAGGTGGCTTCCCTCCTTCTATCAACTCGAGGTGGAGATCATGCTCGGTATGATGGGGCAGCTTGTCTGCTTCCACCTCATCAAACACATCTCGCAGGTGTTGGTATGGCTTTGGTATGTCTGCAGCCGTCACCACCTTATCTACCTCCACCTCCATCTCGACTCCTTTGTCTGCGCCTGTAGGTACAAAACCAAAGGCCAGGAGTGATGATGGTGGCTCCTCTAACAGCATGAACCCTATGGGTCCATCTTCCAGAGCTGCTCGTAGTATGCGCTCTGCTGAGACAAACTCATTACCATGAAGGGTTGGTCTCCTCATGGTTAGGTCCCCTGCTCTTGCTGCTTCAGGGGGTCTCCTAGGGGGTCGGTCCTGCTCCTGAGTCTTGAACTCCAGCTGGCCCGTATCCCATTGTATGGTGGGTTTGAGCCTCCGTAGCTCAGTGAACCCCAGGATGAGGTCATAGTCCGCAGTGTCGGCCACTGAAGCTTCGACCACACCCAGATTGTGTGTACCAATAGATACCTGCATGCTCGCAGAACTATTGATGGAGAGTTGGTGCCCGGTGACACCATGGATCGATCTTGTTTTTATGGGTTTTGTGGGTATTTGGTACTTACTAATGAAAGAATCTGAGACTATGGACAAACCAGCACCGGTATCAGCTAGTATCCGAGCAGGATGGTCTTGAACCATTCCAGAGAGCTCCAGTACTGCTTTGCCTCCACTGGTAGAGAAACATACTTGACAATCTTGATATATACAGAGTGATGGCGAGGAGGTTTGTAGAGCAATGCATGCCATCAGTGCATCACCCCACTGACGTTTCCCTCGTCGTCATCATCATTGTGCTCCTCCTCGTGATCGGGGTCCATGGGTTGCTGGTATGAGCTGAGGTCCATGGCCTCGGGGTCACCCGTCTCAGTGCTGCCTGTGTGGCCATCTCCTGAGTCGGTGGCCTCCTCGAAGGGGTCTGCTGTGGTGACCATAACCTTTGGTCCCATGGGTCGAGAGCTAAGAGGGTCTACCCTCCTGCTGGGGCAGTCTCTGGCCCAATGGCCAATACCTTTGCATACATGACAGGTGTTGATACCTGATGGAGCAGGGCTTCCTTGCTTCGAGGGTTGGGTGGGATGATGAGGAAGGGGTCGGTTTAGGTTTTGTATAGTTGCTTGTGTAGTTGCTTGTGATGGTGATCGAGCTGGATAAGTTTGAGTGGGTTGTCGGATGGGGATCGAACTTTGATTTGGCCGAGACCCAGTTCTTAGTGGAGGTGATGTGGCATTTGGGAGTGAGTGTCTAGCCGAGGACTGCTGTAGTAGCATCCTCTGTCGATCGATCTCCTCAACCTCTCGATACCACTCTCATCTCTTCCCAGGTGGATTCCTCTCGAACTTCTCCTGTATGCTGCGAGTGAGACTACCTCTGAAGAGATCAATCACTAGCTCGTTGTCATCTAGGTTGACCTGTCCTTCCAAGTCTCTGAACCGCTCTACATGACGTGTGGTGGCACCAGGAGTATCACTTGTGAGTCTGAGAGCCAACAGCTTGTTGTATGCCTCCATCCTAGCATTGCGTGGGTTGAACTGCTCTGACAGTCGCTCTGTGAAGTAGTGCCAATCATTGAACAACCTTCCTTCTCTAGCTCTATCAATACGGAGCTTGGAGGTCCACCACTCCCTTGCTGTCCCTTCCAGTTGAGCACCCATGTGATTGATCATCCTAGACTGCTCATACACCTGGTTGAACTTAAACCATGCTTCGGCTTCTAGAATGAAGATCTCCATGTCTCGGGGATTGAACTTTGGAAAGGGGGTGGCAATGGGCTTTGACCGGTTAAGCTCTGCCATGATGCTGGTATCCTCCTCGTGGTCCAGGGGGTAAGGGTCCGTCCTAGTCCTGCTGTAGGGGTCCAGCTTAGTCTTGACATATCTTGGCCCAGTAGGTGAAGCATACTTCTCGTAGTTGATGTCCTCCTGCTCATCCAGGTTGAATGAGACTGATCGTCTTGGTCGTGGAGCTGGAGTAGGAGTATGTGGGTCTCCTATCATAGACTCATCTCCTCCTCCTGCTTGGTCTTCTGAGTGAGAGAGGTCCATTGTCTCCTCCCTGCTCAGTTGAGCTCGTTGTAATCGTTCCTCTCGATGACCCTGCCTAGTAAGCTCTAGCTGAGCTTCCAATAGAGTGAGTAGTCTATCGAGCTTATTGTTGAGGTCTGGGTCCGTCATGGTGATCATGAGGAGCTGCTTGAACGATCCACTCTAATGTCAGGGGTCTCGTGCCTGAAACCCAGGTCGGTCTGTCGAGATACTTGGTGACTATCAAACTGTGCGACAGCTATTGTCTCGAGATACTCGGTGACTATCAAGTTGTGCAGTGACAGCAGGTGGCGTTTGTTGTATATACTATCGTAGGTTTCGGCTGACCTCTGTGGACACTCCGTTCAGGGGTAGCTCGGCACGATCAATATCAATGTTATGATGACACCAAGGTCTGATGTGAGTGTTGATGATGATGAGGTTGATGGTGTTGGTGATGAGATTGGTGATGTCGATGATAATGAGGTTGATGGTGTTGGTGTTAAGGTTGGTGGCGTCAACACGAGTGTCCAGTGTGTTGACTTGATGCTTGAAGTGATCCCCGGACCGCAGTGGACTACTGCCTTCGGTTCTATCTATATCCGGACCACTAACCTGCTATGGGCGCCTTCGGACGTCAGGTAGTGGTGATACAACACACACACTACGATGAGGAGCAACCTTGATAGATTGCTGCTATGCTGACTGAAACTAATGTATACTTATGCTGAAGTGATAACTAGTTATGGTGAGTAGAGTGGATGAGGATCCACTCGACCTATGATGATGAGAAAGCATGGTTATATACCTCTTCTCAGCATCGCCAGCGATGCTGCTCCTGCTCTCTCTCCATAGAGTACCTTCTTCATCGAGTACTGCTCAGGGGCCTCTCCTGCTTGGCACCCCTGTGCCTCTTGGTCGACACAGCTCCTCCTCCTCATGACCTGGTGTCGACTCCTTCGACACTGCTCCTCCTCCTCATGACCTGATGTCGACTCCTTCGACACTGCTCCTCCTCCTCATGACCTGGTGTCGACTCCTTCGACACTGCTCCTCCTCCTTTGATCAGTGACAGTTCCTTTGGCTCTTGTCTCTCGAGCCCCTGAGTGGTAACCATCTGCATGCTCCTTGAGCTTGGTCCTCTTCGTGGCTGTGCCTGCTCCTTGAGCTTGGTCCTCCTCGTGGCTGTGCCTGCTCCTTGAGCTTGGTCCTCCTCGTGGCTGTGCTTGGCCCTCCTTTGCATGTGAGTCCATAGGAGTCCATGGTCTCCATGGAGACTGCACTACGACCATGCTCTCTACTGGTGTCGACTAGGTCTTCGATACCTGTGCTCCTTCCATATGAACCAGTGACCCTCCTGCTTCTTGAGCATCCAGGCCCATGACAGCGTGTCTTGCCTGTACCACTTGACTGAACAATGGGGGTGCCGCGAAAGTAAGGCTGGGGTTCGTTTGCATCGAGTTTGTCATAGACAGCGTTGAGGTGAGAGACAAAGGTGAGGAAGCAATTGGGTGCGTCACCACAGTAGGGTCGATAAAACCCGTTTTCAAGATGAATGCTGGTACCGATCACCTCTGGATCTCGGGAGTGCTTGACATGCGATTGTGCGAGGTGAACGATGACCACGGCAAGGGCCTGGTCGGGGCTATTGAAAGTGGGGAATCGCGAGGTGAGGTTGTTGTAGACAGTGGCAAGCTGGTCAACGACGGGGGTGGTAACATCGTTGAATACATTTTTGAGCTCTGGTATGACTGCGCAAAATTTAGACTGGTGTTTGATGAGGCGATCAACCATTAAACTGAGCTGGCCAGGACTCCAAGATTTATCCCTACTATACATATCGCAAGCCATTTTGTGAAAGCTGATGAGAAAATCCCAATCTTCAATGCGTCTGAGCTGAGCTAGAAGACTTGTTGCCTTGGAGGTGCGAGGGGTATTCTCGAGAGCTTGTTGGGGTAGCACTGAAGTGGGCTTGACAGGCGTGGTAGGATCGGCAACCTGCTTTGACTGGGGGCTGCGATGATGCAAATTAGGGTGGGATTTGAAAAAAGAATCGAGAAACTCGTAGATGCGATCCAGAGGCCATTTGTTACGTTCGAAATGGCTGAGTCGATCATGCAACATTGCAGAGACTTTGAGAAGAAGAGGTGATGATGTTGAGACAATCTGGTTGTCATCAGAAGATGGCGGAAGTAATTCGTTGAGCTGAGACCATTGTTCTTTGAGGCCTGGCAATGGTGCATTGCTGCTACTGGAGCTTGGCGAATGCGAGGGTGGTGAAGACGACATGATGGAACGGTGAAGCCCAAGCACACTAAATGCTAGCCGATATTGAGTAGACCTAAGATTGTGGCCAGAGAAAGCGTGTCATGGGTGGTGGTGATGGTGATGGTAGTGATGATGGTAGTGATGATGATGGTGGTGATGATGATGAATCCGAGCTGAGCTTTCATCTTACTTGCGCACCGTACAAGCAAAAATTTGAAAGATAGGTATCAGACTTTCTCGTGCGGCTAGTTTTCGCGTGAGAAGATTTCGATCGAGCATTCTCGTGCGGCTAGTATTCGCACGAGAGAGTAGTTGAAGTTGAAGAGAATTTTTTTGCAGCTCTTGAAAATAGAGAAGGGGGTATCAATTTTCGAGTGTTTTTAGAAACACGTGTTTCTCGATTTTGACGACCCCTTTTAAGGATCCAAAAAACACGTGTTTCGAAAAACACATCTGCAGCAAATGTGACATTTGGTTCGATTTAACACATATGTTATTAATACTGAAGCTCATCAGTATCATGTTAGCATGTGCTTTACACTGTTACAGATGGTCATGGTCAATCAAGTCTTTTGCAGAAGGATCTCACTAAGTATGACAATGAACTAAGGTGCTAGGTGTCAGCAGTCACGTGCCTGAAACCTGAGATCAGTAGTAGTATCAGTACTATCACTGATTCTGTCGAGTTATGCGACAGCGCTAATGGTATTTTGATTCCTAGTGAAATATGTGACAGAGCCTTCTCTGTCACCTTTCTCATTGGAATCTGTAGTTGTATTATTGTTATGACAGATTTCGACTAACCGCTGTGGACACTCCTGTCAGGGGTCTCGTGCCTGAAACCCAGGTCAGTCTGTTGAGATACTCGGTGACTATCAAACTGTGTGACAGCTATTGTCTTGGTATCGGTGACTATCAAGTTGTGCAGTGACAGCAGGTGGCGTTTGTTGTATATACTATCATAGGTTTCGGCTGACCTCTGTGGACACTCCATTCAGGGGTAGCTCGGCACGATCAATATCAATGTTATGATGACACCAAGGTCTGGTGTGAGTGTTGATGATGATGAGGTTGATGGTGTTGATGATGAGATTGGTGATGTCGATGATGATGAGGTTGATGGTGTTGGTGATGAGATTGGTGATGTCGATGATAATGAGGTTGATGGTGTTGGTGATAAGGTTGGTGGCATCAACACGAGTGTCCAGTGTGTTGACTTGATGCTTGAAGTGATCCCTGGACCGCAGTGGACTACTGCCTTCGGTTCTATCTATATCCGGACCGCTAACCTGCTATGGGCGCCTTCGGATGTCAGGTAGTGGTGATACAACACACACACTATGATGAGGAGCAACCTTGATAGATTGCTGCTATGCTGACTGAAACTAATGTATACTTATGCTGAAGTGATAACTAGTTATTTGGTGAGTAGAGTGGATGAGGATCCACTCGACCTATGATGATGAGAAAGCATGGTTATATACCTCTTCACAGCATCACCAGCGATGCTGCTCCTGCTCTCTCTCCAGAGAGTACCTTCTTCATCGAGTACTGCTCAGGGGCCTCTCCTGCTTGGCACCCCTGTGCCTCTTGAGTGGTGTCAACTCCTTCGACACTGCTCCTCCTCCTCATGACCTGGTGTCGACTCCTTTGACACTGCTCCTCCTCCTCATGACCTGGTGTTTGTCATGGGCCTGGATGCTCAAGAAGCAGGAGGGTCACGGGTTCATATGGAAGGAGCACAGGTATCGAAGATCTAGTCGAGATCAATAAAGAGCATGGTCGTAGTGCAGTCTCCATGGAGACCATGGACTCCTATGGACTCACATGCAAAGGAGGGCCAAGCACAGCCACGAGGAGGACCAAGCTCAAGGAGCAGGCACAGCCACGAAGAGGACCAAGCTCAAGGAGCATGCAGATGGTTACCACTCAGGGGCTCGAGAGACAAGAGTCATAGGACACTGGCAAGCAGGTCCTGAGGAAGAGGAGCAGTGTTGAGGGAGTCGACACCAGGTCATGAGGAGGATGAGCAGTGTCGAAGGAGTCGACACCAGGTCATGAGGAGGAGGAGCAGTGTCGAAGGAGTCAACACCAGGTCATGAGGAGGAGGAGCAGTGTCGAAGGAGTCGACACCACTCAAGAGGCACAGGGGTGCCAAGCAGGAGAGGCCCCTGAGCAGTACTCGATGAAGAAGGTACTCTCTGGAGAGAGAGCAGGAGCAGCATCACTGGCGATGCTGTGAAGAGGTATATAACCATGCTTTCTCATCATCATAGGTCGAGTGGATCCTCATCCACTCTACTCACCATATAACTAGTTATCACTTCAGCATAAGTATACATTAGTTTCAGTCAGCATAGCAGCAATCTATCAAGGTTGCTCCTCATCGTAGTGTGTGTGTTGTATCACCACTACCTGACGTCCAAAGGCGCCCATAGCAGGTTAGCAGTCCGAATCAAGATAGAACCGAAGGCAGTAGTCCACTGCGGTCCAGGGATCACTTCAAGCATCAAGTCAACACACTGGACACTCGTGTTGATGCCACCAACCTTATCACCAACACCATCAACCTCATTATCATCGACATCACCAATCTCATCACCAACACCATCAACCTCATCATCATCGACATCACCAATCTCATCATCAACACCATCAACCTCATCATCATCAACACTCACACCAGACCTTGGTGTCATCATAACATTGATATTGATCATGCCGAGCTACCCCTGAACAGAGTGTCCACAGAGGTCAGCCAAAACCTACGATAGTATATACAACGAATGCCACCTGCTGTCATTGCACAACTTGATAGTCACCGATACCGAGACAATAGCTGTCGCACAGTTCGATAGTCACCGAGTATCTCGACAGACCGACCTGGGTTTCAGGTGCGAGACCCCTGACAGTGTTGACTCCTTCGACACTGCTCCTCCTCCTCATGACCTGGTGTCGACTCCTTCGACACTGCTCCTTCTCCTTTGATCAGTGACAGTTCCTTTGGCTCTTGTCTCTCGAGCCCCTGAGTGGTAACCATCTGCATGCTCCTTGAGCTTGGTCCTCTTCATGGCTGTGCCTGCTCCTTGAGCTTGGTCCTCCTCATGGCTGTGCTTGGCCCTCCTTTGCATGTGAGTCCATAGGAGTCCATGGTCTCCATGGAGACTGCACTATGACCATGCTCTCTACTGATCTCGACTAGATCTTCAATACCTGTTGAACCTGTGACCCTCCTGCTTCTTGAGCATCCAGGCCCATGACAGGAGGTTCATCATGGAGAAGGCACATTCCAGGATCTGATCTTCATTCCAGTCAGTGTGAGCTTCCCTGACCATTTGCATGGTGTGCTCTAGTAGGGCTATGCTGTCTACCCTGGGTGGCATGCTGGCTATGGGGTGCTGGAAGCTGCTGAGCTTCAGACTCTTAATCAGTTGTAGTTTTGAGAAAAATGCTTGATGATATTACTTTAAAAGAACACTCAACTACATAGATATATATACTCCAGCATGATTTCTGGTATACTGCTTTGTCTCGCATTGATTGTATGTTTGCCACTGTGCCCTCCTGGTTGTCCTCTTATGCTTAGCTCCTGAGTCATTGCCATGACAACCAATGTGCATCTTGCATGCATGCCATTCATTCCTGATCCTCGCTTCCTACGCACCTCGGGTAAAACAATTTCCTCAACTAATGCTAATGATTTTTCCGCCATTCGCTCTCCCCCAGCTTGTGGAGTATGTCAACAGTCATGGCTGGGAGCTGGCAAGCGACTCACTCGAGTTAGGCAATTTAACAATTTTCCCTAAATTTCTCAGTCCTTTTCCTACGCGTTGTCAAGGAGGATAATTCACCGTTGATTGATCAGCGTCGGGAAATTCCTGACGGCCCAGGAACGCAGGTCCGCGGCGATGCGAGACTTGATCGGAGATAAAATACAAATGCGGCGTGTGATGGTCTCTGGCCTCCACCACTTGGAGCGTTAGCCGCAAGCCGCAAGGCGTGCGGTCCGCATTGACCACGGCCTGGTGTTGGTTCATTTAGCGATCTCCTTGACGACATATCTGGACTGCTTGTGTGTCGAGGCTTATGTCTCGAGCTGACGCCGTTGATATAAACCCATTCAGAATGTCAGTCTAGGCCGTCCTGCCCGTTATTCATACTTTCTGACCACATCTCAGCAACATGCCCGCAGCAACTCCCAAATCCATCGTTGTCACCGGTGCCAACAAGGGCATCGGCTATGAAGCCGTCAAGCGCCTTGCCCAAGACCTGCCAAACAGCATCATCTACCTCACAGCTCGCTCGCAATCGAACGGCAAAGACGCTGTCGAGAAGATGAAGAAGGAGGTTCCCGCTGCCGACTTTTCCAACGTTCGCATCTTGCTGCTCGAGGTCCTCGATTCGTCGTCGATCCAAGAGGCCGTGGCCACGGTGCAGAAAGATTGCGGTACTCTCGATGTGCTGCTACACAACAGTGGAATCCTGCAAGTTCCAGGGGAACAGGGTTCTAAAGGAGTGTTTGACGTCAATGTTCGCGGCGCAAAGGCGGTGATCGATGCGTTTGCCAAGATCTTGACCAAGGAGACCGGCAAAATCATCGTTGTGTCTTCAGAGGTTGGAACGTGGGCAACCGCTGCCATGGACCCTTATGTGCAAAAGAAGGTACTCGACAGCAGCACGACGAATTGGGATCAAATGCAGGCGTGGATGGACGACTGGCTGCGACACGAGCAAGGTTCGCAACAAGTGCAGGAGCCGTGGAAGCCAGTGGACCATTTGGTCAACTCGGGCTACGCACTGAGCAAAGCCTTCCTCAACGCCTACCTGCGAAACTACGCCTTGCAAAGCGAGAGCCCCCAGCTTGCGGTTGTCTGCCCTGGTTACTGTGCCACCGAGCTCAACGGCTTTTCGGGACCTCGCTCGGCCTCGCAAGGAGGCGAGAGCGTGATCTGGCCAGCACTCAACGATTTCAAAAGAGGCCACTTCTATCAAGACGGAAAGGACTTGCCATTCTCGCAGTCTATGCCTGAAAACTTGAATCTCTGAAGGTGCTGTGGTTCACAATCTGTCTCGCAGTTTTCGCCTAGCAAACGCCATCTTGGTCGTTTGATCGATGCCAGTCACGACCACCTTAGAACTCGCAATACATGATAATAAAATGTGCTTCGTCTTCAACAGTGGATTGCGCTATAGTACCTGCATGCTTCTAACATGAGGCTCCAACTTAAGAAACTGGCGACGCTTTCAAGCTGAAGCCGAACTTGAAAGTTTCTTTTTCATAAAGCGAAGCAATTGAGGAAAAGGCCCAGTGGAGAAGTACGCTTTTCATGTTGTGCAAACAAATGTAGTTGTTCTGGTGGCTGTGGCTGTCTGCGAGGGTGATCTTATGGCGTTTCGAATAAGATGAACTGCGAAGCTGCTGCTGCTGTTGACGTTATGCAGCTACAATGGGCGCGACTTGAATGTGCTGTCACTCGCCAACGACGTCGGCTCCAAGAAGCATCGAGCGGATCGTAATGCTAAGGCGAATTGACCTGTTCAGAGTGTCAACCCGGCCTGGAAAATGGGAAGAGCGTACAAGGTCAAACGAGCGAGCAGCGATACCATGCTTCCAGTTGTAGCGCGCCTCTCCACTGAGCAGTAAGACGGATCCAGACGGCAGGAAGAGATGTTGGGTAGCGAAAGAGTCGTGAGTGAAGTCCATGACAATACCTGTACCTTGTGGGCCGAAAGAGCATAGAAGGATGCCATCGGCAAAGCGGTTGACAAGATCCACATGCGATGCTAGACCCTCTGTGCCGCCGTAAAGGTTGAGAATGAGCTGACGAGAGAGAGATTGTCCTGCAGGGAAAAGGAGATCCTTGATCTTCCGTGGCAGCTTCTGATCAGGCAAGGAGGTGAGCAGCTGGCGAAGACGTTCTATCAGGTTGACAGACCACAGGGGTAGACCAAAGCAGCCAGGAGGATCTTTCTTCGTCGCGGAAACATCAGGTTGCTGATTCTGTTGGCTAGCTGCTCTTTCTGTGGACGAAGGCAATGAGCGCGCAAAGAGCATTGCTTGATTGCGCGACGACCTACGGTAAGCGGTGCCTTGAGAACTATGATCGGCTTCGGAGGTCGCGGCCTCCTCCTCGTCTTCGAGTGCGAAGTAGTTGCATGCTGCGACCTGTTGCAGCGTCTGGTCGTGTAGCTCTCGGGATAGCAGGTCCGGGAAGAAGTACAATCCCGGAATGTCAGGCGCCGATCGTGAGGCTACTGGTATGGCGTAGTTTGATGGGGGGTTTTGCACGACTCGGGCTTCCTGAAAGGTATCGCACTCGTCGTCGAAGAGGGAGTCGGCATCTTGGTCATGTGCCATCGTGAAGCGCAATTGGTCGGTAGTCTTGAGCACTGCTAGTCATTGCCGTTCCGTACTGCTTGCTCAAATTGAGAGGTAGCAGATAGTGAGGGCAGATTGTTCGACGGCAATGGTGAGGGTGGTCAACGGGGCTAGGCTTGCAGACCTCGTTCACCGAATTGGAAGCATGGTATCCGAGCGTCGCTGTGGTTGGAGCCGCTTCCCAACTGGTTGGTCTTCTGGCCTTGATAATCGGCAGAGATCGAAAGCCGATAGCTGGCAAGGTGTGCGAATCTGATACGAGGTGATGGTACTGCAGCATAGCCTTTGTCCGTGCGGAGATCTCTGTGCAGGCTCGTCTGTGCGACATGAGCCGCTCGGACAGTGATGCAGAGATGTGCTGCTGCATATCTTTAAAAAAAAAAATTTGAGTTCTAACCTTCCGGGCTTCCGTTGCATGGGACAAGAGCTAAAGAATGTTTTGTTTCAACTCAAAACACTTGTTGCGCCCCAACCTGTCCGCACTCCACCATACCTCATCATCTTGTTCCACCCCGGATCCATTTCACCATCACAATGTCCGCCGAACAACTCCCAGATGACCACTTCCGACCCACTTACGAGGAAATTCACGTCCAGATCGGCGAGGCTGCTCGCAGGATCAAGAGCGTCTTCGACCCGGATCTCATGGTCGCCATCGGTGGTGGTGGATTCTACCCAGCTCGTGTTCTCCGCACTTTCCTCAAGAAGCCTTCGGCGCTCGACCCTTCCAAGATGCGTAACATTCCCATTCAGGCCATCGGCTTGAGCTTGTACGAGGAGGTCTCCGGCACTGCCGAGGGTCAGATCGGTAACGAGGTGGTGCGAACTCAGTGGCTCGACGCCAAGACTGTCAGCGGACACAAGGGCCCCGGCACGATCGAGGAGGGCAAGGATGCTGGTGGATTGCTTGGCAAAAACGTTCTTATTGTCGACGAGGTCGATGACTCCAGGACCACGCTCCAGTACGCTTACTCTGAGCTCCTCAAGGATGTCAAGAATGCCATCGCCAACCTCTCGGCTGAAGAGCGCCAGAACCTTGCACCTACCCGCTTTGCCATCTTTGTCGTCCACAACAAGGAGAAAGCCGGCGGAAAACGCGGTACGCTGCCCATCCTCCCTAAGGATCTGTCCAAGGGCGAGGACAAGATTGTCGACGGTCTCAGCCAGGGCGTCCGATACTATTCGACTCAGGATATCGGAGACGTTTGGATTTGCTACCCATGGGAAGAAGAGTATGTTGAGTTGATCAGTCATGCGACCTCAAGTCTTTCACACCGATCCGAAAGGCTTACTCACCTTATCTTTGCCTTTCCCGCCTGCTCTTTGTTACGCACAGGGACATCATCGAGCACAACCGTCTTGCTGCTCTTGCAAAGAAGCTCGGTGTCAACCAGCCCAACTAAGCTCCATTCTTCTCTAGCTCACTTCTACTCAAAGTCGCTCAAAACGTGCGCTTCTTTGCCGCCTTGTGTATATCATCCGGCCTCGCCATGGAACACTGTATATTCTAGATCCTACCTTTCGGTACCCTTTCGCAGTGCGGTTTCGAGGCCCATTCCTTTCCTATGCAAGATTTCGCGGCGCTGAAAGGCCTCACGGTGTTCGGGATAATCCCAGGCGGTGGACTGTGTTGTGTGCCTCGCTGCAATGGTCGCAGCACTTGGGTAGGACACTTTTCACGGATATGGCAGTCAGGTCCACGCAGATCGGATTCATCAGATCGCGAGGCGCCTGACAGCGCCACAATTGAGTCGCTTATTGCGCAGCAAGGCTCGATCGTTAAACCGTGGTTCCGAGCAAGTTTCATATTGTCACTTGGGGTGATTGTTGCTGTCAAGTTGCGACTGGGATGGTGTACAAATGATTTGGGATATTCGATGCAGGAATCATGTTGGGGCTATTGCGTTTGAGATGAGTGACCGATTGTCGAAAGCGGGCTTGTGCGGCAATGCTGCAATTGCGCTTCACGATGCTCGAGCTGAAACGCTAGACCCGATAGCTTTACGTCCCTCCTTGAGAAGACTTCGACATTCTGCAGCAATCTCGCGCACACCAGCTACACCGGCATCAGTCCAAGCCGCTAAAACCGGCTCCATGGTACCCCACAGATGTTCAGCTTGGGCGAGTCCAGCTTTTCTTGCTTCCAGGTCCTGACCCGTTGATTCTGGGCCGCGTAGAGCAGCTCCTGTATCGACGCGACATTCGATCATGTCAGAAAGCATCGTAGGTAGAGTGACAATCGGCTCAAAGTCACGCAGCGGATCAATAGCGTCCGCTGCAGACTCTCTGTTCGTGTGCGGCGCAGAGCTGCGTAGCACTTCAAGGTGAGAGGATAGGTTCGACATTGATTCGAAGGAAGATTTGAGCGACTCCAGGCAGGGGTCGAGGGATTCTGACTTGATCTTCATGTTACGTATTGTGTCGCTTGCAGCGACGAGCTCGTGATGATGATTGTAGACTAGGCTCTGACGCTCTCCATCCAGTTCACGAATCTGAACGATGAGCTCCGACTCCTTGCTGAGAAGAACGCTCAAGCTGTTTGATCGCAAAAGCGAACCAAGGTCGATTTTGGGTTCCGAGGAGAAGCCACCGTCGCTGCCGCTGGCTATTGATGGGGTCGGCGGTGCTGAGCTCGCCTCTGATGAAAGGCCATAGTAGTCGCGGAGAAGGTTGGCGGCACGCCTTTTGTCGTTCCGTGGCCGAGCGGCTGTTGAGCTCGAACTACTGTCTGCTCTTTGACTTTGAGACGGCCGTGATGCGGGTGCTACGGAGGGTGAAGGGCCTGCAGACGCCATCTTGCCTACGGTAACTGTTGATGGTGTCGAGAACAGAACAATATCAAAGAGATGAGCAAGGTGACCATGCTGAGGTCCGAGCGGCGGCGATTGGATGGTCGGTGTTAGCAGGCTCCATCGCAACATCTTGGAGTTTTTCCCCTCCTTCTTGCTATTCTGATCCTGTCGCCCACGCTGATTTCAGCAAAGTGGCACTTGCGCTCGAGGATGTCCAACTGACTGATGCCAAGCATTTTATATGTTGTTCATACCTCACCGTCATCAGCTAGCTGCACTCCCCACTCCTGCAACATTGATCCCTATACTAAGTTGGTTGCGGAACAATATCTACCTTTTCGATCCTCTTCAATGACGACAGCGAGGGACCGCCTCATCTGCGCAAACCCCACCATCACATCTTCCTTCCCTAAACCTGCGTTTGCGTAGGAGATCAAGCGGCGTTTCCAACATGGTTCGAACACCATCCATCTCGCTATCGTCCGGCGAAAAGGACAAGGACAAGGCTACGCAGACGCTTTCTTCTGCATTCGCATCCATGATCGCAGTTGGTGCCCCTCATCACAATACTCGCAACCCTTTCGCCGTCGGCCAGCTCAAGATTGACGACAGCTCGGCAAACGGCTCACGCCGTCATCCTCACGGCGCATCGGGCTCTTCATCTAGAGACGATGATGAAAGGTCACAAAAGAAGTCGAAGCGACTCAGCGCTTTTGGCAGATCAGGACGCAGCATATCGCCTTTCCGCTTTCGTTCCAGGAAGCGCCCCTCGTCGGCCAACCGCCTCAAGGTCAACCCTGACGAAGACACTGGATCAGAAAGCGGAACAAGAAGCGAGAGGGACCGAGATAGCGACAACGATTCGGTAATCAGCTCCGCTTCCGGCATCACACCACGGAACAGCGCATTCTTCAACCCGTACGACGAAGACGACCTTGATCCATCGACACCGCATTCTCATCGTCGTCATCCTGCGTCTCCTCACGCGCCCGCTGCATCCCTTCCAAAGGTCAGCTCATCCGCAAGTCTTGCCTCGTCCACAAACGGAAACGAAGATCCACACGGTGTGGAAGCTGATGTCGAGTCCGACGACGCCTCCGACACCTCCGACCTAGACGCCAAGCTTCCCACCACAGGCAATGCAAAGGACGACGACGAAGAAGATGAAGGCCTGGATGATGCCGATGAGATGGACTCCATCGTTCTGGACAACACAATCTACAATGCAGAATGCCTGACATCCCACGAACATTGGACCCAAGGCTCGAAGTCCGAAGATGGTCATCACCACTTTGAGACCTACGAAGATGAAGACCTCGAGAGGGATGACGAGCACATCATGGCACCCAACGTCGTCCTTAGCGAAGATCAAGTCTCGGCCTTCGTTCAACGTCGTGGCTCCAAGATGCTCTCGCTGGCCACATCGAGACCTAAGTTCGAGCGCAATCGATGCACCATCACCATAAGCCACGGTGAATCCGATGCCGCTGCCAAGGCCAGCAAGCGTCCCAAACGTTATGTCGTGGCAAGCGATGGTTCCGAGGAATCCTCGTATGCCGTCGAATGGACGATCGGCACTGTACTGAGAGACGGAGACGAAATGCTGGTAGTGTCGGTAATGGAGACTGACACTAAGCTCGATGCCCTCGATCCCAAGCACGAAGAGGTTTCAGCGCGCATGGAGCATCAACGCATCCGGCAGGCCATGGCCTCCGTGCTTGCCAAGCAAGCTACTCATCTGTTGGAACGAACAAGGCTCGAAGTCAAGATCTCCTGCCAGGCAATCCACGCCAAGAACGCTCGACACATGCTCCTAGATCTCATCGATTTTTATGAGCCAACCATGGTCGTCGTCGGCTCTCGAGGTCTGGGCTCATTAAGGGGTATTCTGCTGGGTTCAACTTCTCACTACCTTGTACAAAAGTCCTCGGCGCCTGTCATGGTAGCACGTAAGAGATTGAAGCTTCCAGCACTGCCTCGCGGCAAGGGTGATGTCGTCGAATCTGTGCGAGCACGCCATATGCGTCTCGATCAGGCCTCGATCGAGAAAGTCTCGAATGCCAATGAGGAGAACGATTCTGAAACGAAAGAAAGCAATGAAGACGACGCAACCGGAGAGGATACCTCACCAGACAGCGAAACGGGCCTCAAGGATGGCGCTGATGGATCCTCGAATCAGCCAGAGACGACCGAGGCTGCGACCAGCGCGCCGCCTTCTACGCCTCCCAGAAGGACGAGCTCAGAGGCGAATCACACCAGTCCAAAAGCGGGTAGCGAAGGCAGTCCGAAACTGCAGCGCAAAGGGTCCAAGGCCGGTCCAACCGCCATCCCACAGACATCTCTGGAACGCGAAGCTGAGACACGAATTCAGATCCAGCAGCGCAAAGAAGAATCTGCCAAGTTACACGAGGGCGACAAGAAACGACACCTCTTTGCTCACCATCCGGAACACCTCAAGACGTCCAAGACATCTAACGCGCAGCAGAGTGACGACGATACGGACTCGACTGGCGAGAAGACAGCGTCGAATGGGTCAACACTGGTCCCAGCCGCTGGGGCCAAGAGCAAGGCGTAAGACACAACAAGCACAAATGAAGTTGCATGAATTCATCACCTCGTTGCCACCACTCCTTCATCGAATTTATCTTGTCACCGTGCAAAGGGCTTCATGCAATAGAGGTATTGATTAATATCAAGCCGAATCCGGCTGGATGGCAAACGGCGAGTTGGGGTCTCATCATTCGGAACGCTGATTACAAGGTGGTAGATACATGAGTCGATATCAGGACTATGCTCGAGGGATCTTCAGGTGCCAAAGTGAGGCTGAGTTCTTTCGTGGTCTGGGAGGAATGTGTCGGGATTGGAGGCCTTGCAGAGCCGAGGCAACGTCGCTCTGGGCACCTGTCACTTGGTCTTGCCGGGGCTAGGCGGCGTACGCAGATTGTCCGACATGGTCCTGAAGGTGTGCATCATGAAGCCGATGTACTCATCCACACCAAGCGACTCGAGGTTGATCTGCGTTGCCTCTTTGACCTGCTGAACGGTCCCCGCTGCTTCGGAGGAGAACCTCTTTGCAGCTTTGTTGATACCATCGGAAGTGGTTTTTGCTGCTTCCCTGGCTTGTTGTCGAAGTTGAGCTAATGCGGGAACGACGACTTTCTCGTGATAGTCGGCGGTTCGCTGTGCCGTCTGCGTCGCCTGCTCGCAGACGAAGTCGAATGCAGGGCGGACTTGCTCCTCGTTGTACTGCGCGGTGAACTCGGCCGTTCGTTGAGCTGTGTGCACAACATGTTCACGCACGGTGGCAAAAGCGGGGAGGACCTGCTCTTTGTGGTAGCGACGAGCCAGACGAGCAGCTTCGTATGCTTGTTGCTTGGCAGCCAAGATTGCAGGCCTCAGGACAAGCTGCTCGTAGTTTTGAAGCTCGGTTAGCCAAAAGGCCCAGGTGGTGGTGGTGGCGTTGTCAAGATACGAGTTGTTGGGCTTGAGAGGCAGGACGGGCATGTCGGGACTGAGCTGGAAGATCTTTTGCTTTGCAAGGCTAGCATACCTGCTATTCTTGCTGGGTCGGACGAATGCATTGGATGCTTTGACGAAGCGTCTCGCGGCACTGGCAGTACTGGGACCGGCAGAGGACTGTGCGACAACACTGAGAGCCTTGGGTGTGGAAGCAGTTGCTTGGAGCGAGGCCGAGCGATTATTTTCTGGATTGCTGCCCTTGTCGAAGGCCTTGGTTTCCTGCTTTTGGCGGACGGAATTCTCCGAGCTCTTTGCGTTGAGAAGGGCGAGACTGGAGGATGAAGGCTTTGATGCGAGCGCTAGGAAAGCGCTGGGTCGAGCCAAAGTTCCAGAAGCACTAGCGCCGAGAGAGACGACATTAGAGCTAATTGCGGGAGCGGCAAACTTGGTAGATGATTCAAGATGAACGGCTCGCTGGGCTTGCAGGGAGGATGCACGCTGTGTGTTGTTGTAGCCAAGCATGGAGCTCGACTTGAAGCCGACGAGCACGGTGACAAGCACGGCGACAAGCCAGACTGTCTTGGACTTTGGTGCAAACGCATTCATGCCCCTGTGGAGCTTGGAAGGGGAAGCTTGTCTTTCCTCGGAAAGGAAGGGTGAAGCAGATTTCTCGACGTCGTTGAAGTTCTGCGGAAAGGTGGTGATGTGGGTGCTCTGCTCGGAGCTTTCAACCATGGGCGTCGCAGGGTCCGGCTGCGGAATGGCGGGATCATGGAACTGTCGAGACTGCGCGATGGGAGTGTAGAGCGAGTTGGATCCAGCATCGTTCGGGTCCTGATCGTCAAAGACCGTTACGGGATCAGGGAAATGGAAGAGAGAGGCTTCAAGGTCGGGACTTGGAGGTGCACTGCCAGCATCGGATACGGAGCTGGGCACATCCGAGGCGATGGATGATGGTGCGGGCGTGCGCTCATCATGTTCGTAGTCGACCAATTCGAAATCGGACGAATCGTCAGTCTCGATCAAGGAGAGTGTGTCGAAGAGATCAGTGTCGTTGCTCGAAGTCATCGTTGCTGGTGGACGAAGTGACGCTCGAAGATGAGGAGGTGCGGGTTGGTGATGTGCGACTTCCTCTGTCCTGTATCTCTAGACGACAAGGATCAGAGGAAAGAAAGGAAAGAAAGATAGAGAAAGGGGCCGAGGAGGGGAAAGCAATGGACCCTGAGCGGGGACTGTATCAATGGGGCACTTTTGCGCGCACCTTTTTTTGGATCTGTGTGGAGAGCGGGCGTAGTGTAGTAGGCATCTGAGCAGTGTCTGCTTGTCCCCCCAGCCAACTTAGCCGCATCCTGCATGTGTTGCTGCATGTGTTTGCCGAAGGAAGCGATCCGATATGATGATGCATGCTGACATAAACACAATCGGTGATCAGATGAAACAGATCTGTCTGGAGATCGGGTGCAACATAGCCCCGCTCGTTGTCAAGCTAAGTCATGAAGGAGGATACTCCCACATTCGGCATGCACCACATGTTTGTATATACAGTATGCACATAAACTGTCCCAAGATTTTACATGTCACCATACATCACTCTAATGCTCAATAGCTATAAGTTGTATTGCCACACTGTCTGATATTGTCTGAAAGCACTGCTTCTTCTCTCCAAGACTGTGGAATTGATATTGACATTGACTAAAAAAATTGTGCTATGAAGAAGAGCTGAATTTTTTTTTATTGTGGGACAGTTTATGGAGTGCTCCTTGAGAACACCTTAGTACTTTGTATTCCCTCCTTTGGCCTTCAGAACCACCTTGATGTGGTCTGGCATGCTCTCTATTAGTATCCTACATGTCTCTGGAGTGATCGCTGTCCATTCAGCTTTGCATCTCTTTGTCATGGGCCTGGATGCTCAAGAAGCAGGAGGGTCACTGGTTCATATGGAAGGAGCACAGGTATCGAAGATCTAGTCGATACCAGTAGAGAGCATGGTCATAGTGCAGTCTCCATGGAGACCATGGACTTCTACAGACTCACATGCAAAGGAGGACCGAGCCATATGCAAGGAGGGCCAAGCACAGCCATGAGGAGGACCAAGCTCAAGGAGCAGGCACAGCCACAAAGAGGACCAAGCTCAAGGAGCATGCAGATGGTTACCACTCAGGGGCTCGAGAAGAGCAGGGTCGACAGGTCCTGAGGAGGAGGAGCAGTGTCGAAGGAGTCGACACCACTCAAGAGGCACAGGGGTGCCAAGCAGGAGAGGCCCCTGAGCAGTACTCGATGAAGAAAGTACTCTCTGGAGAGAGAGCAGGAGCAGCATCGCTGGCAATGCTGTGAAGAGGTATATAACCATGCTTTCTCATCATCAAAGGTCGAGTGGATCCTCATCCACTCTACTCACCATAACTAGTTATCACTTCCACATAAGTATATATTAGTTTCAGTCAGCATAGCAGCAATCTATCAAGGTTGCTCCTCATCGTAGTGTGTGTGTTGTATCACCACTACCTGATGTCTGAAGGCGCCCATAGCAGGTTAGCAGTCTGGATCAAGATAGAACTGAAGGCAGTAGTCCACTGTGGTCCAGGGATCACTTCAAGCATCAAGTCAACACACTGGACACTTGTGTTGATGCCACCAACCTTATCACCAACACCATCAACCTCATTATCATCAACACTCACCAACCTTATCACCAACATCATCAACCTCATCATCATCAACACTCACAACGGAGTGTCCACAGAGGTCAGCTGAAACCTACAATAGTATATACAATGAATGCCACCTGCTGTCACTGTGCAACTTGATAGTCACCGATACCGAGACAATAGCTGTCGCACAGTTTGATAGTCACCGAGTATCTCGACAGACCAACCTGGGTTTCAGGCGCGAGACCCCTGACACTCTTGAGCAGTTCATCCCTGGACTTTGCAATTGTACTATACCATGAAAGTCGCATTTTGAGATGGTGCCAGAGGTGTTCAATTGGGTTCAAGTCCAGCAACTGCCCTGGCCATTGCATAACCTTAATGCTATTGCCTTCCAACCATGTTTTTGTCTTCTTTGACATGTGTTTTGGGTCATTGTCTTGCTGAAACATGACATTGGTGTATGCATGCTGAAGCTGCAAATCTGAGATTGTTTTCAAAAGCTTGTCATTCAGGATATCAATGTATTGGTCTGAATTCATTGATCCCAGCACCAAGCATATACCTCCAACCCCTTCCCACATCATACAGCCCCAGATCATGATGGAGCCACTGCCAAACTTGACTGTCAGCCTGACAAGCTTGCTGTTGAAGCTGGCATTCTTAATCCAACAGAACTGCTTCCCATCCAGTCCAAAGAAGTTGATCTTCATCTCATTGGACCATACCACCTTCTTCCAATCCTCAACAGTCATGTCCTTGTGCTCATTTGCAAGTTTGAGACATGCTTTGTAATGCCTCTTGAGTAGCTTCAGTTTATTCACTAACCTTCATGCTTTGTAATGACAGTAATGAAGTGCTTTTCTTACTGTCATTGGGCATGCTTTGATGTGAAACATCTCCTGCAGTGCATGACATGCTTTCCTGACCATGGACATTGAATTGAGCTCAAAATAGTGGTCCAGGAAGCAAACATGATGAGGCTGGGGTTTTCTTGGCCAGCCCCCCTTTGACTTTGGAGCATTGGCAGAGGCACTTTTGCTGATGCAAGACACTGTAGACTTGCTCAGACCAAGTTTCTCAGCAACTGAACAGGTAGATTCTCCATTTTGGAGGCAAAAGTGTGCCAATCAGTGCTTCTTGGGAGTGGTTTTTGTCATGATGGTATAGATATGATGGTGTCAGACTGGAAGTGCTGCCAGATTGCTCACAGTCATCTGATTGAGCTGAAACTTTCCATGTCACTACTTTTGATGTGTATGAAGGTGCCCACCAAGTTACATTGCAAGTTTCATTGTAGTCAAAAGCCCACAAGGTCAGGAATGGAGTGGTGTCACTATTTGGGAGCATGCTCCATAAACTGTCCCACAATAAAAAAAAATTGGCTCTTCTTCATAGCACAATTTTTTTAGTCAATGTCAATATCAATTCCACAGTCTTGGAGAGAAGAAGCAGTGCTTTCAGACAATATCAGACAGTGTGGCAATACAACTTATAGCTATTGAGCATTAGAGTGATGTATGGTGACATGTAAAATCTTGGGACAGTTTATGCACATACTGTATATCAAGCTGAGGACACTAGGCTCTCACCACATTCTTTAGTCAATTGAGTATACATGTTTCTGCCCTAAAGTAGTAGTGACATCATGCTCGGACTCTCCCTGATTGCCAGTTATCGGGACCAAAACTTCTTCACTTCTATTAATGTTGTGTGAGTCGGAAGTGGAGCTTGAAAGGAGATATATATATATATATATATATTGTTTGAATTTGTGTTACGTCGTCTACAAGTACCATTGAAAGGAAAAGCTCAGGTCACATCGCGATCTCGGAAGAAGGACAAAAAAAAAAAAAAAAAAAAAAAAAAAAAGGTTCAGAGATCTCTCTCATCAAAGTGTCCATATCCCAACCAACAGCAGCTTTCGACATCATCGCAGGTCCTCCCACCTTCACTCAGGCTTCACCCACGATCCGCCGCTTCCACACCGGCAGTCCTGAACGCAAGGGTCGAGTCTTCTGCTGCACCTGACTGGGCGTTTTTGTCTCGAGCTAAACCAACGTCAACCTAATCCGTGGTCACAGCTCCTCGACGCGACTCGAATGAGGCCTTCAAACGACGGGCGACGACCATACATTCGAACGCAATGAGCCCGTAGGCGGCGGAAGTCAGCAACAGCTTCGTCAACAGCCAACTCGTCCACGCGCTGATTCTCTGGCTTCGTCAGCCTGGCAGCACTTGCACAATGATGCTCTCGCTCGACGACAGCCAAGACGCTTTCGTTCTCGATTGCGTTGCGAACTGGGATGGTAAGGGCGCGTCGCAACTGTAAGTTTCTCTTCCTCTTTTCAACAACGAAGCATCAGATGCAAGCTACCCTCCTCATCCTACCATGTGCCGCCCTCCAATTTGACATCCAGCTGACCTCCCGACAACGCTCGCACTTCAATCCTTTCTCCCCTGATTTCAGTCAAAGCACCCTTCTTACTGCAGTTTCCTCCTCGCAAGCTCATGAGCGAGACTCACACCTCTTGGCCCTCCTCCTCGTCATCCTCCGTGTCGACTGCCTCTCCTCACAGGCACCAGAAGCCTTTGCATCACTGCTCTTGAAGCATGTCAGCGAACAAGTCCAGGATCCTGAGGCAAACGAGTCTTTATCCGATGCACTTCTCGATTCGATATGGAGCATCGACGTCGAACTTGATGCACGCAACGACCTAGTATCAACTCAAACATCGACAGCCGACTCAACTTCAATAGCTCTGCGCACCGAGGTCTCGATACCTCTAGTTGTCGCACGCCAGCGACTTGCGAACCTCGTCAATGACCTCGTTTCAGCTTCCATACTTACAGAGGAACAAGTAGGCGAACGTCTGGACCAGAATCTCCTTGCTCTCATCGGCCTCATCCCAAATGAGGTTTACTTCAACAAACGTTCGATTCAGCTTCGCACAGCCCGTCTTTTCAAACAGCAAAAGTTCAATCTGCTTCGTGAAGAGAACGAAGGCTACACTGCCCTCATCACAGAAGTCGTCACCAACCTTGGTCCTTCCATTGTTCCTGTTCGATGCCGCGAGCAGAGTCCAGGCGTTGCTTCGGATCAGCATCTTTCTTCATTGCCCTCCATCTTTGCAGATGATTCGGTTGCCGTCATCGAACAAGAGCCCCCTACAGTTCGCAATCACAGAGCGGCACGCGTCATGAACAATGTTCAGGCTCTCATCGGCTACTTTGATCTCGACGCCAACCGAGTTCTCGACGTCATTCTCGATCTCTTCGCTACCCAAGTCATGCGCCACTACCCATTCTTTCTTGCTTTGTTAGCACAATCGCCCTGGGCGAACGCAGAGCCATCGTTAACACGGCCATCCTCCTCATCGGATGCCAACACTGCAGATCAATTTGCCGGTGTTGATCTCGATTTATCGCTCGACACAGGTGACCGCATTTGCGCCCAGCTGCTCGGCTTCAAGTTCGCTCACTACTGCCACCCTGAGACCAAAGAATCCACACCCGACGAGCTCTACATCCTTGCAGCGCTGCTCATCAACGTTGGACTCGTCCGCTTTGTCGACCTCTACCCGCACCTTTCTCCTGGTGACGATGGCATGAACAAGCTACAAACCAAGCACCGTCAAGCCATGGCTGCCAAAGTCTCCAGCGCTCGAGCCAACGCCCTTTCAATGGCTGCACCTCTGACGGACGAATCGGACCCTTCTTCAGCACGCAAAGAAACGGACAAAGCTGCCAAGGAAGCCCCCGCCAAAGAATTGCCACTCCAGATTGTAGGCCTTTTGCGCTTCATGCTTGCACTCGGTGATCTACGCCACTCTCTTGTTGTGCTCACCCGCTACCCATGGCTTTGCTCCGCCTTCAACGAGATCGCCGATCCATACATCAGATTGCTCAACCTCATCGTGCAACCTGCGTATGAAGAAATCTCCTTCTCGCGGATGAACCCGCCCTGCGCCAGTCCTACCATCACCTCGCCCCGACCACGTTGGGACGCAAAGCTACAATCTGCTCTACCGCCTGCCGTCAAGAACCTTGTCCTCACACGTAAAGTGCCCGAGCCTGCCCCGTCTATCAACTGCCAGCACATCTTCTTCTATTCAGACTGGTCCAAGTCTCTTCCAACATGTCGAAGCCTTGACGACGTCCTCCGCATCTTTCTTCCGCTTCTCAAAGTCCTTGGCGTCTGTCTCTGGAGAGACGCGGCACTGTTGCAGAAGGTCTGCCGATTGACAAAGGTTGGTTTTCGCTTAGCCAGCGTCGCAGCTGCCTCCCAGCCGGCCGCTGAGGACGCTTTCCACGACCTCGATGAGCCTGCCGAAGATGTCGAAAGCCAGACCTGGTTTGACATCTTACGCTTTCACCTCTTGCCAGCTCTCTCGCTTTCGCCGTCCAACTCGGGCATTGTGGACGAGATCTGGATGTTGGTCCGCAACCTGCCGTACCAGAAGCGCTTCGCCTTGTACGGACAATGGAAGAACGATCTCTACCAGCTACCGGAGCTTCGTGCCGCCCAAGCCGCAACCGAAAAGGAAGCAAAGGGCATCCTAAAGAGGATTAGCAAAGACAACATCAAGCAATCCGGACGCAATCTGGCAAAGGCATCGCACTCCAACCCGACCATCTTCTTCACAGTAGCTCTCAACCAGGTGCAGGCGTATGACAATCTCATCCAGCCTTTGGTCGAGTCGGCCAAGTACCTCTCACAATTCGAGTACGACATCTTCTCGTTCAACCTCGTAGACGCACTCAGCAATCCGGAAAAGGAGCGAACCAAGCAGGATGGAACCAACATCAGTCTGTGGCTCAAAAGCCTGGCCGCCTTCTGCGGCACCCTCTTTCGTCGCTATGCCATGATGGACTGCACGCCCATCCTGCAGTACCTCGTCAACCAGCTCAAAGCCAACAACTCGAAGGATCTCGTCATCATGTCCGAGCTCATCACAAAGATGTCCGGCATTGAACCTTTGGCCAACCTTGCCGATGCTCAGATCGCTGCGCTCACCGGTGGCCGCAGTTTGCACATGGAAGCAATGATGGCAGCCAACGCGCTCACAGGAAGCAAAGAGCGTCTCGCCTACCGTAGATCTGGTCAGCGTTTGCTTCACGCGCTTGTAGAAAGCAAGCTGTCTGTACCCTTGCTCATCCTAGTCGCTCAGCAACGACAGGCCTGCATCCACCTTGTGCCAGAGAGCGAGGCACACCTCAAGTATCTCGGCAACCTTTACGATTCATGCCAAGAAGTGCTTCTCCAGTATGTAGAGTTCCTCTTCAACCATCTCGAAACGGCCGACTACGCCTCTTTGGTGCCTTCACTTCAACATCTCTGCCTACGCTTTGGCGTCGAGCCTGCTATGGCCTTCTACATTGCCAGGCCCAAGCTCGTTCACAGCATGAAGCAGGTAGAAGCAGCAGAAGCAGCAGAGCGGCTTCGTGCCGAGCTCACAGCAGGTCGTGCCAAATCAAAGGCTTCAACCGAGGGCAGCGAGTCAAAGAAAGACGGTGCGGAAGATGGGGCAAAGCCGAATGGTGGCGACGACGACGTCGATATGGAGGATGCACAGCTTGCAGAAATCAAAAGTGAGGAGAACATGGCAACAGATGACGCTGACAGCAAGGAAGCAAGCGTCGAAGTTGCTGGTGCCGTCAATGGTGTCCACGAAGGGGCAGATTCGTTGAAGGCCGCAGGGCCATGGCACCGTGGCTTGCTCGATGCGATCGAGGCCGCCAAGGACATGCTGCCTGAAGTCGCGCATTCTTCTCTCGGCGTTCCTTTCTACGTGACCTTCTGGCAACTCAGCTTGGCCGACATTAGCGTGCCAATTGAGCGATATCAGCAAGAAATCAAACGACTCAATGCGCTCATCCGCGAAACTGCGCCGGAGGATCAACGCAAGCGGCTCCAGGATAACGTGGCTCAGCTCAATGTAGAGATGAAAGATCAGATGAAGTCGCACGAGGTCACGCGCAAGCGACTCGTTGTAGAGAAAGATCACTGGTTTGCCAACAGTGCCGACCGAAGTACAATCGTGCAGCAGTTGATCCAATTCTGCTTGTTCCCTCGAGCCCTTCTCTCACCAACCGACGCCATCCTTGCCGGCAAATTCATCCGGACTGCTCACAACCTTGGTACACGCAACTTTTCGAGTTTGACCGCATACGACAAGATCTTCGTTGATCACATCGCTGCAGTGATCTTTTCATCAACAGAGAATGAAGCGCGCAACTACTCGAGATTCATGTACACCATCCTCGCAGATCTAAGTCCATGGCATCGTCAAGCCGAGACGTACGCGAAGGAGGCAATCGGCCAGAAGCTGCCGGGATTCCAGATGCGATGGCAAGATCGCCATGGTGGCGAGGAGATTCCGCAAGGCGACCTCTTGACATGGGATCAGTTCCGACTCATCTTTTGCAAGTGGCAAGACTGTCTCCAGCGTGCATTCAAGGCATGCCTCTCATCCAAGGAGTACATGCGCATTCGTAACACGATCATTGTGATGACGCGCATCTCGCCGTTCTACCCTTTGATTGATACGCACGGTGCCGAGATCAGCGCCGTTGTGGGATCACTAGCTGCGAACGAGCAGCGCGGAGATCTCAAGATCCTCGCCCAAGGCCTACTCGCAACTTTGAAAGCTCGCAAGAAATCTTGGATACCGATGCACCAGGCCCGTAAGGTCGCCAATCCGCCGGCGAGCCAGACCGCCACAAAAGATTCTGCTTCTGGAGGGGAAGCAGAGAAAACAATCGCTGATGTCTTGGGTGGCAAGAAAGAACCTCAGGAGGTGAGAGACAAAGAAAAACGACCGGAGCCTGCAATTGCCACGAATACTGGAGACGCGAAGAGCGAAGCTGATTCGAAGACCGGTCCTGCGGCACCTTCAACGAATGGCAGCAAAGGAGACAAACCATCAGACAAGACTTCGACCTCTGCACCTTCCGGACCCCGTGCCTCAGTCCCTCCGACAGGGTCGAGCTCGCGGGGAGGCAATGCTACAAAATTGCCCCCCAACGCCAACCTTCCCTCTCGTCCTGGCCTTCCATCGCAGAAGGGTCCTCCGACCGAGCCCAAGGATCGCCGAACTGGACCCGCCAGTAGCACGTCAGGCAACGACAATCGTCGCACAGATGATCGAAACAACACTAGAGTGGACGAGCGTGCAACATCAGACCGTAGCCAGGCCGCACCGCCATCTGGACCCCGAGGTGATGCGCAACGTGAGAACGGGCTTCCCACTCGCCCGAGTCGAGATTCTGTATCAGTCAGCGATCATAATCGCGGAACAAATGGAGATCGACGCACTCCCGCGCAGAGCACCCGTGACGCAGCTGATTCGAAAGCTACGGCGCCTCGCCAAGCTGGGTCAGATACCATGATCCCGCCCAGCGGACCTGCCAGCTCAGCACAGGCTGCGCGCAATCGTGCCGAGCGTGACAGGACCGAACGCTCTTCCTCTGCTTCACTTCCCGCCAACAGTGGCAAAGACAAGGACGTGCGAGACCGAGAGCGTGATCGTGATCGCGATCGCAACGAGCGTCCAAGCGACCGGGACAAGACGCGCACTACGGAGCGAGAACGCGAACGCGAGCGAGATCGTGATCGTGACCGACGTGACCGCGATCGGTCAGCTCGAGATCGCGATCGTGAACGAGAGAAGGAGCGCAACCGCGAACGCGAACGAGAACGAGAACGAGAGAAGGAAGTCCGAGACCGAGAACGTGCACGAGATCGAGAAAGAGAACAATTAGGCAACGGACGGGATCGTGATTGCGATCGCGACGACAAGAAGCGAGGCAACAGTGGGAGTGCACAAGTGAGTCGCAATGCTACGCCTGTGCGCGAAGTTGGCGAGACTAGTCGAACAAGTGGCTCCACTACACCACTCGGTCCGCGCCGTGATCGTGAAGCACAACAACATCTTCGTGAACGGGATTCTGCTGCTGCCACGCCAACTTCAGCTCGATCCACTCCTGGTGTTGGCGCCGGTGGGGGAAACGAAGAAATTAGTATCCGCGGAGGCGCAGAGCAACAGAGGAAGCGCACCCTGGTCGATCGTCTTGGCGGATCCTCAGCTGCTTCTCCGGGCGGCGCATCGCCAGGTGGTCGTGCCAATGGCGCTGAAGCCACGGCTGCAGCAGCCTGGGAGACTGAAGATTCAGCAAAGCGAATCAAGATCGATCGCAACCAAAAGTACGCACCTGCCGGTCCTCCTATCTCAGCCATTCCCGAGGGACCAAGGTCAGACAGGAGGCAGCAGCAACCCTCATCGTCACGCAACTCATTCGGCGGAGGTCGCCGTGATGGCAGAGATCAACGTCGAGACCGTTCCGCTCGTCGAGCTGGTAACGAATAACTTATCTCATACACATACATCAGGAAGCATCTCATCGTTATACTAAATCACAAAACAGGTATTGCAAACCAACTCATCAATTTTGTTTGTCTGACTGAAAGAGTAAGTTCCGATTCAATCACAGAAGGCCGTGCTTGGTCAAGGCAGCTCTGTACGTCTCCGTTTCAGCTTGCTCGATTGATAGATCGCGTTTGAGTCGCTTGTTCTCGACCATCAGCTGATGCTGATCTGCCTTTGTCCGTTTGAGCTCCCTCCTGAGGATGACCAGTTCCTCGCTCTCTGGCGTCTGTGTATGGTCGTAAAGCATATCAAGCTCTTCGTTGAATGCTTTGTGGATCTCGGTGTTCTCTAGCCGACCATCCGCTTCGAGCGTTGTCAGAAGCTCGCACTTGCGCTTTAGAGCTGAGACTTGAATCTCCAGCTTTTCCTTCTCCTTCAACAAGGACGCATGTACTTCAGCTTGCGAAGGATCGGACGAAGATTTGGATGTCTGAGCCGCCGCTAGGGCGGAGGAGACGTTGGTCAGATCATGCATGATTCGATTGTGCATGCGAATCGTCGAGATCCACTTTGCATCCACATCTGTGAAGAGGAACTCGAGCTTCTTGAGCCTTGAATGTATGTTGTCTACTTCAGCGCTGATGGAGGCAGTCCTGTTGAAGTCCATCTCTTTCAGCACGGAGTCGTCACCACGTCGCTTCCGTGGCGTCTGGGCTTCATTTTCGATAGCGGTCATGCTGCTCTGCAAGATCTCGACATCGCATCGAAGGAGGTTCATCTCTTCTTTAACAAGACGAAGTCCTTGCTCCATGGCCTCATTCCTGCGTCGTGCCTCCTGCGACTTGGACGTTGTGGATGATGTGCGGGCTTGCGTTACAGGCGCAGGCGCTTTCGTCGACGCTATTCCCTCGACCAGCTCAACGCCATTAGCGGTACCATCGCCGTGACCTCGTTCCGTTGACGTCTCGCTCTCTGAAATAGAAGGTCTTTCTTTGGCCTCGTCGGCTGAAAGGCGAGCCATAGGTATAAGCCGAGGTAGCGCTCCTGTCGGACGACTGACAAAGGTGACATCATCTCGACCCAAGGACGGCCGCTTACTCAGTGGCCCTTCGCGAAGCGCATCTGTGTTTGGCACTTCGGCATCGCTTGTCGAGAGCGGTCGTTTTGTGCCCGACACACGCCGCTGCGTAGGTGCTGAGCCCGCAGTGCCATAGACACCGATGCTGGAGGCGGGTCTGGGCCTAACGGGCGTGGCCACGGCATCATTCTGCTCATTGTCGCTGTCTCGGCCAGAGCTCGGCACAGGCTTCCGCCGAATGTTGAGTGGAGTGGTAGGTCCGTTGGCAAGCCAGGAAGGTGATGGCGCTTCGATACGTGCATTCGAAATGGGCGCAGGGCTTGGACTTGCTTGTTCTCTGGGACCCGTGGGCCTCCGACCAGCGGAGCTCGGCGTCCTGCAAAGATCAACAGATTCAGCCCTCTGGCGTTGCTGATATGGCAGCTGTGCTTTCGATGGTGACCAGCTCGGGGTTGTGGGTGCTGCACTCTCGGTTCTTGCCCTGACATGACCTCCGGCGGCGCGGCCTCCAACCAGCGTGCTTGTCCCAACTTTGCGTGGAGTTGTTGAAGTGGATGCGCCAGCCGATGTTGAGAGGAGTGAGACCGGATCGGGCGTAAGAGCTCGAGCTCGGCGAAGGACGCCGTCCTCATTCTCATCGGCGCTGTCAGCATCACAGCGGCTTGCAGCACTGGAGGGCGGCCCAACAGAAGAAGATCTATGCCTGCTAAAGCGCCTGAACGACTTAGGCGAGTCGGCGGCTCGAGACATGGCCTCGAACGCTCCGCTGCGACTGCTGATGCTGGTCCCTGCGGTGGACATGGTCATGCCACGACTGCTGATGGATGCCGCGTTGCTGCTGAAGGTGCTTTTGGAGGCATTGCTGTTGCTGCGACGAGCAGGAGAGCCAAAGACATCGAGATTGGAGATGCCGGCACTCGAGATGCTGGAAGCGGCACCACTGGCTCCGAAGAGGAGCGAACGTCCAAAGTTTTCGAAGCCTGCGGCCGCTTTGGCTCGCTGTCGAAAACCTGACCCAGAAGGCGTTCCGGGTTGACTGAGAGCGTAGTTGCGAAGCGAGCTGCCAAAACGCTTATCGACTTCATCCGAGAGCTGAACAATATGCTCACCGAGATCGGCAGATGACAGTTGGTGCTCTTGGCCGAGCAACTCTCCGCCATGTACATCCTTTGTACGCACCTGAGCAGCGAATTCCTCCTCCATCTCGTCTACTGCAATGATGTCAAGAATGGCATGAGGATGAGCCAAATCGTTATGGCCAAGAGGTGGTACATCCGTAACGCCATTCTGGTTAAGTGACACTGCTACTGGTGTTTTGTGAGTCTCGCCAGCATAGCTCTGTCGTGTGTGCAGATGGAAGTAAATGATCTTGCGAGCATCCTGTAGGCTCGAGTTTGTCTGAGACATGCCGAGCAAAGCATCTTCAGAGTTGATTCTGCGGCGAGAGGCGGGCAAGATCTTGTACCTTACTTCGCACCGGCTCCTTTTGGACATGAAGAGCGCCTTTGCCCTCCACACACTCTCGAGGAAGCGCATCTTTTCGAGCTTGGCTGAGAGGTCGGCATCGAGAGCACCAGAGCCCATCTGAACGCGAGAAGCATGCGTGGAGGTCGTGGACGAGGATGCGTCTACGGCCACATATTGGCGCAAGGGTCGGCCTGTCCATCTGTCACCAGAAACATGGTTAGGTTGGCGAAGAAGGGTGAGTTGCAGATCGGTCCCTCCGAGATCCTGAGCGTCAACGTCCATGATACTAATAGAGCCGCGGAAGGAAAGTTCTGAGCGTTTGCTAGATGGAAGCAAGGCGCCGTGCGAGCTCTTTTCGGTAAACGTCTTCATCTGAGAAGTCAGACGACTAATGTCGTCGAGACCGACCGTTTTACGAGCGCTGGTAGAAGCGTTGGCGCGTTTGACGATGGCAATGCGATCATCGAAGAGGAAGAGAGTACAGTGAATAGGTCTGAGACCCGAGAACGAAGCGGCGATGCCAGAGGAAGCTGTGGATGCATCAAGAGGAAAGTCATCGACGTCGATACAGTCGATGAATCTGCGATGGGCACTGATGAGTTCGGCTGGAAAGGAGTCGACGTTGCGACTGAAGCTCCAGAGTACGGCGGCTCTCCTGGTCTTTTCATCTGCTTCGCAGCTCGCGATGCGACTGATGAGGGTGATGACTTGCTCAAGACGGGTACGAAGCGGGTCGCGAGACTCTACATGTGCCAGGATAGCATCGATGAGGAGCTTGTAGCGCGGAATACGTTGTATGGGCTCCATGAGAAGGTCGCGAAGACCCGTGTTGCCGATGCCAGTGACCGAATACTTTGCGCGATCAGCAAATTCGCAGAAAGCACGATGCTTTGCAAGCGTCTGTTCGATATGCTTAGCCTTTTCAAAGTTGGCAAAGTACTCGGTGTAGCATGAGAAGCAGGACATGTGGTTGTAGAGCACGTCACCAAGACCGGCACGAAGGACGTCTTGACCTTGCGAAGCGAGGCGTTCCAGGTCATTGAGGAAGGCACGGTTCGCACCGGCAATTTCTCCGATGTTGCCAAAAAGTCGCTGAGCCTCGTAGAGTGGGATGATGGCGGTGTCGCGATCCTTTGCGAGTGTACGGAGGGGGATTGCGTACTTTTGATGAAGGACATCGATGCGTCTCACATAGCTACGCTCTGTGTCGATGAGCTCCTGAACACGACCGAAAAGGCGGGCCGGGTCAATCTCGGACGCTTTACTGGCTGTGGGTAGCTTGTGTGCTGTGGAAGGTGACGAGGAGGCAGCCAAGGAAGAGGAGACGGCTGTGATGCTGGAGCCACTTGAAGAACTGGGCACAGCCTGAGCGTCATCGGAAGAGCGGACATCACCGAACGTGTCTGAGTCATAGTCTTGTACTGGATCACCAAGCCACGCTGTGAAGGCAGAAGCGATGACAGACGTGGGAAGAGCGTTTGAGGAAGAGGAGAAGGGGGTTGCTTGATCCGAGACTACGTCAAAGTAGAAAGCGCGGGAAAGGCTGTCGCTGACTATCGAGCTGATGAAGTCATGCTCGGAAAAGGCAAGCGATGCATTGTATGCTGCATCGGTCAGCGGAAGACCATCGAGGCGTCTTGGAGTGCTGGTCGAGCAAGTGTTGGACTGATGTAAAGGGCGAACCGGAGAGGAGGGTTCACGGGCGAGATTCGCTAAGATGCTGTGTCCTGCGCCTATGCCAGCGAACGGCGATCTCGGCAAGTTGCGGGGTGGCGCCATTGCTGGCTTTCTGAACAACGTTACCGTGGTGCTGAGGAGTTGTTACAAACCTCAAGGTGTATAATGATTCAATTACTAGTTGCTGCTTATCAGCTTGTGTGTCGTTTGGCGCCGGGAAGTCATGCTGTGCCGGGTGAAGGATGTTAGGGCCGATGCTGCTGCCGAACTGAAACGAAGCTGTCGATGCTGATGATCATGACGTGAAGGTCAAGGTGATGGAGACAAGTGACACGCAGTTGCCAAACAACTCGCACAAAGCGCAAATCCCCCCTACCAAAAAGCGGAACTCGGCAAAGCAAAACAAGCAACACACCCTTCAGGCGCGTATTCGAGCTTGCAACGCGTGAGAAGTTCACATGACCGTGGACCAATTTTCATCGAAATGTTAGGCTTTTTGGTGCAACATCTTTGACAGGCCTAAATCGACTTATGGAATGTTCCACAGCGGTTGCAAGTTGGAAGTTGGCTTCTGAGCAGCGGGAAAACATAGTTTATTCGACTCTGTGTCCAAGCTCAAGCGACGTGGAACAGAGAGAGAGAGAGAGAGAGAGACACACACACACACAACACAGCCTTGACGTGAGTTTCGCTTTCTTCTCAAAATTGGTCCGCGCACAGGTCTAGAAGCCAGGGTCGCGCGCTGAGCGCACAGACAGTTGAGTGGCGTGCGCAGACAATACAGCTCAGCTTGAGTCAAGTGTTGAACCCTGGCGCCATCTTCAGGCTGTGCCACCATCCCAATCCCGACCATTTCTCCACCATCCCAATCCCGACCATTTCTCCCACTCCTCCATCATACACACTCGCATCTCACGCCAACACCTTCTTCCTCCAACCAGCCCAAATCCTTGCCGCCCATCTGCAAGGCTCGTACACCTTTGACACCCGTCGATCGTTGCCACACACTTGTTCATCACGATGGCTGATCTCAACCAGAGCGTCGTCGACCCCGTCGCTAACGATGCACAGGTCGCCAAACCCCAGGAGGACGAAAAGAAGGTCTTTGCAGGGAACCTTGCTTTTGCCACCACCGAAGACGAGCTCAAGACCCTCTTCTCCGAAGCTGGTAATGTGTAAGTAGTGAACCTACGTCTATGCGGCTTACTGGCTTAATTGCTCAGCTTCAGATCCGTTACTGACATTCTTTCATCACTCCGTCTCATCGCGGCATTGCATCCCTTTCCAACCAACTCCGACTTGCGCAGCACACACGCTCAAATCGTCACTCGCGGCACTCGTTCTCTCGGCTACGGTTTCGTCACCTTTTCCACCGAGGCGGAAGCACAGACTGCCATTCAGCTCCTTAACAAGCGCGATGTCGGCGGTCGCGAGATCAGCGTAGAGTCCGCAAAGCCCCAGGCTGTTGCCGACGCAGAGAAGCAAAAGTCACGCAGAAGCCGTCAGAAGTCCAAGGCTAAGGAGTCTTCTCGTGCGCCACGCCGCGCCCGTGCGGATGAGGGTGAGGAGGGAGCTGCTGAGGAGGAGGCTGCAAAGGCTGCCACCAATGGCGATGACACAGAGCAGGCAAATCCTACCAAGCCCAGCAAGTCGGCTAAGCGTAGACAGAAGAAGAAGGCTGCTGCTGCCGCTGCCAAAGGAGAATCCACCACCGCCCAAGTCAAGACCGAGTCCGGTGAGGCCGAGCCCCGCGCACCTCGTGTCAAGCGTCAGCCCAAGGTTAAGCCCCAAGGCGAACCCTCGCCGACCCTTGTCTTTGTTGCCAACCTCGCTTTTTCCACTACCGACGACTCGCTCAAGGCTGCCTTCTCCGGATTCAAGGTCAAGTCGGCTCACGTTGTCAAGCGCCGCAGCAGTGACCGCTCCAAGGGCTTCGGTTTCGTCGATTTTGAGGACAACGCCGAGCAGCAGCGCGCCGTTGCTTCCGCACAGGGCAAGCAGATTGATGGCCGTGAGGTCACTCTCCAGGTTGCCGTTCGGAACGACCAGTCTGAAAAGACCGAAGACGAGGCTGCTCAGCCCACTCAGGCGACCGCCTAATCGCTATCACTAGCCGGCTCAATGGCGTAGCAGTTCTCACCTCTTACCAAAGCGTCTTGCATGCAGTGGATAAGCAATTAGCTATCTTTGCAGGATTTCTGTAGGCACAACAAGCCCGTTTAAAAAAAAAAAAAACCCATGTTCTCACGCACATCTAATGAAAAGCATAGTATTCCCATAACGCAAAGAGGAGGACACTGGTGAGATTAGTGGCTGGAGTGCTGCTTTGAAGCATCTGCTCGATTGTGTTGCGTTACCATCTCGATACTTTCTTCGCCGTCCTTGTCCGAGACTGACGCTGATCCGTTGCTCTGAGCTTGTCTGTGAGCGGCTATGCTCGAATGAGACCAATTCAGCTTCGAATGTCTTTGTTTCGGCGCGCGAGGACGGTCGATGCGGCTTTGCAAGCCATCAACAATCTGCTGGCAGATCAGTTCGGCCAGCAAGACTGAAGCGCAGATAGCCAGCGCACCGTCAAGAGCAGCGGTGGAAGGAGCACCGTCAAATACAGTAAACACTACTTGCAGCAGCACCAGTACGCAAGCGAACAAGAATCGCAATGCCATCGCCCATCGGAATGACCGCAGTTTGCGATCACGCGAGCTTTGCATCGTCTTGATGACAATGTCTACCGACAGGTACGCTGCGCTTGCAACGTAGATGTACTTGAACTGGAACAACGATTTGACTGTATACTTATTGATTGAATCTGGGTTGACAACATTGTCGGCGAACTCAAAGAATGATTTGAATGGTAGCACTAGGCTTGGCGCGAATCGCGACGAAAGGGCATTGCTTGCATCGGATGCGTTGGCTTGAGCGACGAGGCTCTGAGCTTGGGCCGAGCCTCCGGCAAGACCAACTACGGATGCTACCATCTTTTGCGCCTGATCAAGTGTGGGAATATTGGCTCCATCATTGCTCTGGATCACCGAGATGATGGCGGAGATGCCGGACAGCATCCCGCTGGTGGAAAGAGGACTGGTACCATCCCCGTCATTATACGGCTGAAACGCCTGCTCTGGGGGCAAGTCTTGCCAAGGTGGCGTGTTCGGCAGGTAGATAGTGGGATTGTTGAAGAACTTTGACATCGCATTCAGAGTGTTTTGGAAGCTGAGGATCTTCTTGAGTCCAATCACCAGCAATGCGGAAGACATGTGCAGCAAAACGTGGATGTACGCCCAGAGTACGATAGTGACTGAGGCACAATTGATCTCACCGGTGGCACGATGGAAGTAGCCACCAAATTGCAGGATGATAATGAGCACACAGCTCACAGCTTGCAGGATAGTGTCACCACTCCAACCACCGCTCTCAATCGCAGCGCCGCCGAGTGCCTCGTTGCGCAGCTTTGCTCCTGGACTGATCCGGTTGAGGGTCTCGGCGATACCGGTGAACCCCTCTCCGAGAATGATAAGGCCAAAGAGCACGAGACGTTCGGGAAGTACACCCTTGCCAAGCGGAGAGAGGACATCACTAAGCTCGTTGAGGATCTGCGCTGCGGCCTCGATCGCTACGCCCAAGATCCACATGACTAGCAGAGGAGCTGTGACTCCGTTCGAACGCGGAAGCAGACGGCTGAGGATCCAAAACAGACCTGAGGCCACGAGTGATGCGATCGAGATGAGATGAGTTCGGACGATGGCAGCCATATCATCATTGCGAGCCACCCGCCTCGCGGTAGTGCGTTGAGAAGGGAGCCGTGATAATTCGTCGTCAGAGTGATAGATATCATCACCTCCAGCTGCGTGCAACAAGGACTGGCCCCGACGCCAGCGAAAGACGTCAAACAGGAGGACCACCGCGTGATCGAGCGCCAATGCCATGCGGGAGGAACCATAGATCAAGGTGAAATTGGTGAAGCTGCTGCGCGAAAACTCGGAAGGTGTGGTCGAGAAAGCGACCCACAGACCCAGCACAGCTGCACGGATGACTCGCTGGCATGAATTGAAGAGGAAGGGCTGGTGACGCATCGTTCGACGATATCGTACGTCAAAGTAGGCTTGACTCCACCATGCCCACCAGATAGCAGTGAAATAGCCGAGGAAGGCGGCAACGTTGCTGAAACGCTCCAGAGACACAGCGTTGCTATAGGTGTTGAGGCAGGCGGCAAACAGCAAGTCGAAAAAAAGGTCGCTGTAACCAGGAGCATGCGATGACTCGTTTGAGCTTAGTAGGAGCATGTCGTGTGACTCGGGTGGGTTGAGTTGGTCGGGATTGCGCGAGCCACCTTGTTCCAATGGGCCACTACGCAGAGCATCGTGAGAATGGCGTGGCAGCAGCGCGATGCTATCACTTTGCTGTTGGCAGTCTTGATGAGGAGAAGATTGCACCTGCTTCTCGAGTGGTTTTGGTGCGTCCCACCCTCCGGGGTGCTCATCCGCTTGAGTCACCTTCGGGCTGGCTTCGGAAGCAGCAATGTTAGGCTCCGAGTCGGTGTACATCCGCTCTTGCGAAGCAGTCAAATCTATAGCCGTGCTCATGTTTACTCGATCAGGACGATACCCTGAAGATGTGGTCGATGGATGGGTGATTCGACTGTTCGGGCCATCTGTGAGCGCAGACGGTGCCATGTTCTCGTCGGTCATGATTGTCGAAGCTTGCAATACGTGAACAGTGCAACGAGGCCGCACAGCCAGATGCCCTCTCTAAGCTGTACACACTTCGACAACGTGGAAGGATAGAGTCTGACGGCAGCTGATCCTTGCAACGAGCGTGTTGGGAAGATGGAGGCCAAGACGCTGGATGACACCTTTCTCCCGGCAATCTCGACCTTCGCTCAGTGTGCGAGTTTCAGCTGTGAAAGTGAGCGAGAGGCCCGCACCTTTTGACGTGCCCGAACTCAACCCACGTTTACTGACTAGCTTCTGCTCGCCTACTTGCCGAAAGTTCGTGCACCAGGCTCCGATAGAAAAAGAAGCTTTCTTTTGTAGTTTCCTCCACTGCTGTATCGGCGTCCCCCCCACCTCGGTGTCCCGCAACTCTGGAACCTTTCCACACCAAATGTGGTGAGTTGAGAAGCTTCCCATTCCCGAGCGGAAAGAAGATCAACAGCATCTTTGTTCGATTTTCCACCTGGCGAAAATAGTTGAAGTAGGTAAAAGCCACACAAAGCGTAGAGATGGTGAAGGTAGTGCTTACGGCCGAGTAAAAGGCTTGAGCATCTGAGCACAGACCACATGTGTCACAACCTACTCAAGACAAATGCTTTGTTATGCTCCACAGTCAATGTGGCTCTCTGCCACTCTTCTTTTGTATATAAAGACTCCTTCTCTCTTTCCTCGCTCTCTCTCTCTCTTACTATCATCATCATAAATCACACGAAACTTCAACTGGCTCCCAACGTGGGGCTCGAACCCACGACATTCAACACATCAAGAGTTCGATGCTCAGCATAATGCTGCTGGCGACAAGAGCAGGGCAAACCAGAAGGGATGAGAGAGATGATGATCAAGCGGCCACAGCTGCAGGCAATGGTCGAGAGGAGGGTTGGCTCATGCAGGTAGTTAGAATTCTACAGTTAGCAAACCTGGCACTGATGGCGGAGGAGGCAATAGTACAGGCAATGGGTCTTGTCACCATTAGCAATCAAACCCCATGAGGAGAGACGGAAAAGATCCCCAAGGATGTTTCGAGCTCAATTGCCCATATTAAGAAACTTAGTGACAGCAACTGGCACACCTGGGAGCCTACTTTCATTGACTGTTTGCAATGAGTATGCAATGCAAAGGAAATCCTGTATGGTGAGATAGCACTGGGAAGCAAGGGGTATGACGAGGACTTGGACAAGGCTCTTGTAGGTCTTATCCATGCCTCCTGCGACCACAGTCCGGAGAGCCACATTGATACATACACTGTTAGGGGTGCAGATGAACATGTCCAACTTGGTAGTACACTATATGCTAAGCTCAAAAAGGTGCTAACATTGAATGATGCAGTAAAATGAGTGGGCCTGCAGGACCGCATCCACACTGTACAACTGTACAATCATGATGTTGTCAGGCTGGGCAAGGAACTGGATTCTATCTGGAACGATGCTGCACGACTTGGGAAACAACTCGATGAGGACCTCAAGAAAGCCACCCTATACCACTGCACAGCACAAGATTGGTTCTACACCAACTCTGTTGATGCCCTCAAGACAGCCAAACCAGATTGTAAGTACGATGAAGCCTACCACGTGTTAGCAAAGAAGCAACAGGATGGTGAGGTCACTGGCCATATTAGAGGAGCAGCAAGGGTTGCCACAAGCATGGACCAGGCGGAACAAGGACCCAGGGGCAGGTGCGACCCTTGCAACCCCTCGGCCCCTCCTAAGTGCTATGCTTGTGGAGGGCCTAATCACATTGCTCGCAACTGCACGAACACCAACAACAATGCTGCACCGAGTATGGGCGGACCCACCACCAATCCAGCGCAGGAAGCGAGTCGGTAGGAACTCAGGTGCACCCTCCTAGCGATTGGTGGAGATAAGCAACCAACATTGGATACCTGGATCGTTGATTCGGGTGCAACACACCACATGGTGAATGATGAAAGAATGCTACTCACCTCGACAAGCAAGGACGGTCAGATCTGTACAGCTGGAAATGAAAGGCTTCAAGTGAAGGCCATAGGAGATGCCTCCCTTCAGGTTGGCGATGTAACCATTCAACTATTGGATGTGCTCTATGTGCCGAAACTTAATTCTAATTTATTATCAGTACAAGGTTTGATTGAGAACAGTGCATGGGTAACTTTCGATGAGTTTGGGACCATCATTAAGCAAAATGATGGCACACAAATACAGTACAAGAGGAACAGAAGAAAAGGGCGGTTCGAAATGCAGGGAAAAGCACTAGCCCTGGAGTTGGAAGAGACACTCGACGATGTCCCAGAGGACAACCAGAACACAGGAAGACACAATGACATCCCAGAGGATGATAAGAACACAGGAAACCGAGACAACAACTCGAAGGAAGACAAAGATAGCTATCTCTGGCATGAAAGGTTCAGACACCCAGGACGAGATAAGACAAGGCAAATCCAGGTGCACTACCTTGGCACTGATGAGAGAATGGATCATGAATCAAAGCACTGCAATGCATGCAGTCAAGGGAAACAGACCCAGGCGCGGATGAGCCAATCGGAGTCGAAGAGAGCAGAGGTGCCACTAGAGTTGGTACACATAGATTTGATGACAGATCTTAAGGGCCATGCCAACTACCACTATGCACTAGTTGCTGTGGATGACTTCTCCTCCCTGATCTACGTTGAGCCACTCTGCACTAAGAGTGCTGCACTCCCATCACTGAGAAGGTGGATCACCAGGATGGAATGAGCAACAGACAGGAAACTCAAAACGCTCCGCAGCAACAATGGAGGAGAATGGTGTAGCTCAGGAGCTGGAGACTGGCAAACTCAAGAGGGTTTCAAGTGGCAAAAGAGCATCCCGGGGATCAGTGTCCAGAATGGACAGGCAGAGAGAGTGATCAGATCGGTCCAAGAAAAGATGTGCTCAATGCTGATTGGTCGAGCTTGTCCCAGAGAGCTGTGGCCATATGCAATCACAGCAGCTGCACACATGGTGAATCTCACCCCATCAGCCACCAAGACCATCCCCCATGAGGCCTTTTATGGAACCACTGTGCACAAGCTGGCCCAGCAGCTGCGAGTCTTCGGATGCTTGGCATGGGTCCATGTTCAATGGAAGGACCAGCAGGGCAAGTACGGGGCTAGAGCAAAGCCAGCCATCATGATTGGATATGACGATGAGCACAAAGCATGGAAGTTTTGCAACCCGGACCAGCCTGCATCAATTCAATGGAGCAACTCAGCAACATTCCATGAGGACAAAGGATGGAGTGATCACCAACAGGAGGTAGTCTGGCCCATGATGACCGCAGAGGTCAAGGAGGAGGGTGTCATGCCAGCCGCAGTGGAGGATCTCCTACCAGCTATAGATGACACAGTAGGTGCCACCAATACAGCAGTACTGAACCTGGACCCAACGCTTGGGGAAGCAATGAATGGTGAGGATGCCCAACTCTGGAAGGAGGCCATATGAAAAGAACTGGAAGGACTCAAGGCAATGGGGACTTGGGAGGTGGTGAATCACCCACCAGGAGCACCACTTGTGGACTCTAAGGTCATGCTATGACTAAAGCTTGATGCTGATGGTGTGCTCATAAAGCACAAGGCACGACTGGTGGCTAGGGGCTTCACACAGAGAGAGGGAATCGACTACCAGGAAACCTTCTCCCCAGTAGCACCCCTTGGAGCAATCAGAGCTATCCTAGCACTAGCAGTACAGAACGACTGGGAGGTGCATGCACTGGATATCACAATGGCTTACCTAAACTCTAGACTAAAAGAAGTGATCTATATGAAACCACTGGAGGGATCAGGAGTAGCACCCAGACAGGTATACAAAGTGGTCAAGGGCCTGTATGGCCTAAAGCAGTCTGGGCGAGAATGGAACCAGGAGTTCAACAGGTCTTTGAGATGTATGGGGTTCTTCCAGGTGGAGTGTGCTCCCTGCATCTACACCAAGGGACAGGGTGAAGATATGGCCATTGTGGTCATCTACGTCGATGATACATTAGTCATAGCACCATGGCTGGAAACAGTCCTAAAGGTTAAAAAGCAGATTGGTCAGAGATGGAAGATGGAAGATAGTGGTGAGGTCTCTCACTTCCTCGGCATCAAAATCAGTCGAAACTGTACAATGCGCACCATGATGATTGGTCAGTCAGGGTACATTGACCAAGTGCTAGCTAAGCACCTGGACAAATGCACCAAGCCAACTATGGTTCCAATGCAGAGTATACCAGAGGGAACCCTTGTCGCAAGTGCAGCACAACAGAAGGAGTATCCAGTGATCGTTGGCAAGCTGCTCTGGGTTGCCAACAGCACCCAGCCCAACCTTAGCCTCACTGTAAGTGTCCTTGCTAGACACATGCGTGAACCATCTCAAGAACATTATCAGGCAGCACAATGGGTCTTACGCTACCTCGAAGGCACAAAGAATGTTGGATTAGTTTATAGGGGAAATATGTTGCAAGAGCTGCTGATTGCGCATAGCGATGCAAACTGGGCGAGCGACACCACCATTCAGAGAAGGAGTACATCAGGGTCAGTGGCGTTAGTGTATGGGAACCCGGTAGCCTGGAAGTCAGCAACACAGAAATGCATATCACTGTCCGCCATCGAGGCGGAGTTCATTGCAGCCACGGAAGCAACACATGAGGTGCTCTTCCTCAAGCAGCTGCTACGCTCAATTGGTATTGCCACAGGCACCCCAACAGTCTACTCAGACAACACTGGTTGCATACAGGTTAGTAAAGACCCAGCACAGCACTGGAAGCTTAAGCACATCGACACCAAGTATCACTTCGTCCATAACAACATTCAAGAGGGAAGGGTGCAAATCAAGTATGTGGACACCACAAGGAATTTGGCAGATGTACTCACCAAGCCAATTGGGAGACAAGCAATGCAGCAAGCAAGATCTGGGCTGCACCTGCAAACACCAGCAGCGGCATACAAAATGGAGTCCCCGAGCTATGTGATGATGTTAAAGAATGGAGGATATACCTTGAAACAACAGCATAATGAACAGGGTACACATGCTGTTGAGGGGGGGAGTTGAAGTAGGTAAAAGCCACACAAAGCATAGAGATGGTGAAGGTAGTGCTTACAGCCGAGTAAAAGGCTTGAGCATCTGAGCACAGACCACATGTGTCACAATCTACTCAAGACAAATGCTTTGTTATGCTCCGCAGTCAATGCGGCTCTCTGCCGCTCTTCTTTTGTATATAAAGACTCCTTCTCTCTTTCCTCGCTCTCTCTCTCTCTTACTATCATCATCATAAATCACACGAAACTTCAACTAAAATCGGGGTGAATTTGTGGAGGTTCAGGCAAGGAACCCCTTCTCAACCCGGTGAAGCAAATCGTCGGAGGTTCAAGTAAAAACGCATGACTGCTTAGTCATTTCGTGTCATCGCAAACCTCGCTCCACGTCGCCACCCGTCAACTCCCACCAATGCTATCCACCCCACACAATAACAACACACAGCCAATCGTGTTCATCGCATCTCGTTTCGTCGTGCACAACGAGGTTGACGCCATAGACCCGTTCGAGGAGGAGAGGGAAGGAGAAAAAAAACAAAAAACAAAAAACAAAAATAACACCCAGATTTTGCCTCCTACCAGGATTGAACTAGTGACCTCACCATGTCGAGAATACGAGTGGCGCGCTCTCCCACTGAGCTAAGAAGGCAGCGAAGGCAGAATCATGACATGATTCACTCGGCTTAGCATTATCATCCCAACGGCGACCATCTCTCTCATCATTGAAGCGTCGGAAAACGGAGACGAGTGTCACACATGGCTAGCGTCGCTATATATCATGTCCCTCTGAATTTGACTCTGTCAGATGGTCTGTCTGGCTATATGCTCCTCGCTTTCCCCTCTCGGCTGCAAAGGTATAGCCCCTAGTCACTTATCTCTTTGCAACCACGGTCAATGGCTTAGTCATTTTGATCAGCATATCTGATGCTCTGCTAAGTTGGCAAGAATGTTGAGCTCCTCGGCTGTTCCAAAGCAAATAAGTCAGAGAACAACGCCAGAGACAGCACAAGAAGGCAGCGCATGGGCCAGAATCGACAGAAACTTGGCTGAGTTCTGGCCAGCTTTGGAGGTATATAAACATGGCATTTGCAAGCAGCACATACCCCCCAACACCTCCTTATCCTCACTTTCCCCTGCTTCTGTCGCCCTCTGCCTTACTTTGCGACAATATCATCGGTCACTCTTTCCAACCATGCTTGTACCGGAAGGGCTACCAATTGGTTGCCCAGCATTTACCCTTTCTGGGACATCGACTTGAACAACCTCTACAGCAGGCTGTTCTCTCCTGCAGACTCGAATCTTATCAACACCTTGTATGTTCCACCTCAAGGGACAGCCTTGCACAACTGTTGGATTAACATTATCAAGGCTATCTGTAGGACTCCTCTATCTTGTCAGATGTAGCATTGCATAGCATTATCATGGGGCCCTGGGCATGCTGTCCTGCCCCCCTCTGGGCCTTAAGCGCGGGGCAGACACGTTTGGCGTGTCTGATCTGAATCTCTGCGAAAATGCCGTATCCCCCTGGAACACACCATGATGTTGTAGGGATGATGATGATGACATAGTATTGCAAGCAAACATATCACTTGTTAAGATGCGCCGTGTTGCCGAACAAGGTCTTGTACATGAATGCCTCGCTCAAAAGCATCTCGGCGTCTTTGTCTGACCAGCTTTGTGTAGGTAGCGACTGCAAGAACATAATGATACCCTGAAAGTCCATGGTCCGCAGCTTATCGGTCCACTTGTGTAGAAACACAGAGCAGACGTATAGATGAAAATCGGAGAAAGCATCTGGTCCTTCTGCTAAATACGTATCCCACATGCGAATGATGTTGCGTACACTCATCTCCCGCATCAGCAGACAATTCATCCAGCGGAATGCAAACTGCATGTACTCGACACCTTGCTCTTGCAAGTGAGCATGCAATGGCGCATCGATACGCGCAACTAATTCGCCCAAGCGTCTCACTTGACGCTGAATACCGGGCTGTGCAAAGATGTAGTTGTCCTGAATACCATCGAGCAGCTTTGAGAGACACCAGAATGTGTCGGCCTCGATCGCCTCCAGCACGTTGGCTGGCAGCAAGGCTATGTCGAACATCTCTGGATCCGACCTGATGTAAGAGCTAAGAAATACCTCGAAGAAGGGTGTAGCCAGATCGTTGATACCCTGCACGTAGCCACTAGCGGGGTGTCGAATAGCCCAGACGTACAGGATCCTCTCGAGTGATCGTTGTGTTGCTTGGCGCTGCCAGAGACGGATACCTGGGTTGGTTCGTGGCACGTCGATGTGGATCTGGTGCCAAATAGCTTGGTCTAATGCAGCAATACCCTTTGCGAATGCTAGCTCTACTCCTGCAGCGTATTCCGCACGTTTCCGAGATAAGGTGGAAGCACGCACAGATGCAACTGCGGGAAGGTAGCCAAGAAGCAGCTGCCATACCATGGGTCGCAGCTCATCCGGAACTCCGGCCCATGCGAGGGTGCGGAGCTGCGCAATGTCGACGCTCTGTTTAGATAGACAGTTGAGAAGCTGCTGTCTTCGCCGTGAGGAGCGCACGCTGCGTTTCCGTGATAGTTGGCCTGTTGCATCAGGACCTTTGCTGCCGCCATCTGCTGAATCCCCGTCTGCTGTCGAATGAGCATCATTGCTGAAGCTCACATCCACGCTAGTGAGATGGGAGGCAGCGGACGACGAGGTGGAGAGTCCACGGTGTCCAGCCGTAGCATCGACAAAGCTCGGACCAGTGATGATGAGACCGTCACCTGCTGCAGCAATCGGATCAAATGTGAACTCTCTTGCGGTCGGAGTGGGAGCGACACCGAGCTTGCTCGTTGTGGTCAGCGTTTGCGCTACATCAGAAGCTTCGTCCGTTGTTGGGCTTGGTCGTGGAGACGAGGAAGACCACTCAGCGGCAAGACGCGTGAGTGCATGAGCAGGATCGCGCACCAGCTGATCTAGATCGCTCCGAAGTGATTGACGCAGTGTCTCTGCTTCAGCTGTACCGGAGCTTGGTTTACGGGCCACGCCTGGCGGTCGTTTTCGATGAACCATTTTGCCTGTGTCAAGATCTACGTCTTCCGTCTCGCTCCCGCTGACGTTTGCGGTAACCACTGTCGGCTCATCGTCGACAAGTTGGAAGCCACTGCCACATCCCCCGGTAATGTTTGTGCTCGGATCGAGGTCGAGACCAGCTGCGACTGCATCGGCGAGGTCGGTGGGTGGACTGCCAGCAATAGGTGTATGATCTAGCGACTCTTTGGCGGCGCTACTGCTGACTTGACGGTTGACCACTGTCCAGCTTGCGCGTCTATCACGTGAGTCACGTCGCGGAATGGACGCAGCGACAGAGTTGGAGGCGGACGCCGATGCGGATGCGGATGCGGATGAAGAAGAAGAAGGTTGGCTGCGGAGTTGCTGTGGTCTTACACTGGACTGCTGCTGGTTCTGCTGTTGTGTGGATGAGTATGACGAGGAGCGAGATGAAGACTTGAGGCTTCGAGGCACATTTGTTCTTGGAGCGATCTGCGAGACAAAGTCCTCGTCGTCGGATTCGATACCCCAGGCCTGATCATCGAAGTCACCCCCTCTCCTTCCAGAGCCGGTACCAGAAGCACCGCGCATCGAAGTGAAGTAGCAATGACGCTTACAAGGGTGAAGTGACGATGATGTGGAGCATTGCAAGGCAGCGATGCGTGTCAACTTGGCAACTTCTCCGCTCTCCGCTATTTAGATGTCGCGTCCGTGCGTTGTTCTTTGGCTTCAGGTGTGAAAATGCATCAATTCGGCTGTCAGAAATTGGGGTCGAGAAATTAACCGAGATATTCTTCTTGATATTTTTGCTTTCTGCTTCTTCTTGCTCTTCGCTCCAACACTATTCCTCTCCTCTCCTCTCCTCTCACACTTCCGCAACGAGTGTATTCAAAGCCGACGACATCATCAGCAGCAGCATGACAACATAGCACCCGCATCGATCTTTGAAGGCTTGTTGATGCCAAACATGCTGGTTAGCAAGTCTGTCAGCCGGATCCAGGTCGGACTTTGCCGCTTTCTCCATTCATCCCGCAATGCAAGCAAACCTCCGCTACAGGAGAACTCTACTTCGGCTTTCGCCTACAGTATTGGAGCACCATCACGACCACAAGCATCGAGCCAAGCTGGCTCAAGTAGGCCTCACCACTTTGTCCCGTCTACTGCTCAAAGCAAGCCAAGTCAAGCAAGACCAAAGCGGAAGCGTCAGCAGCGTGCATTACTACGTCTGGATCCGAGAAATCCGATCGTGGCTTTGCTTGCGCCCACACCTTCAACCAGCTCTGTGGATGAGTCGCAAAACCCATCCCAGAGCCGTGCCAAGAAGCTGAGCCATCTGCATGTTGCGCTGCAGACAGGATCCGCTGATGCCGTCTGGTCTGCATATCTCGAAGCACGACACCATCGCCATGGGGATGATCACTCATCGAAGTCCATGGCTGGCTCAACCTTGGGCGATAATGTGACACCAGAAGAGTATCGTCAAGTCCTCAACGTTATCGGCAACGATGCCACCAAGACCAAAAGAGGCCTCAATCGGGTGTTGCGGCTCATGTCGGATTTACGGGATCAGCAACGTCACCTGCTGCTTCGTCTACAGCAAGCTTCCCAGGTGGACTGCGCCGGCCAAAGCCGCGCACTGGCCGAAGAACTTAAAGCTTGGGATGCTGTTATCTCCCCAAAGCTGTTCAACACTACCATCGGACTCATCGGAAGGAGCCTGCGCAGTGTTGGTCTGGACGAGGTCGATCAAATCCTCGATCAGCTACTTACGTATGAGGCCAACGAGCAGGCTCGAATGCCGCGCGGATCAAGGCGAAGTCATCATGCAGACTATGCGGCCGGACCCCGGCTTTCAGGAAAAACCCTGAACCACCTCCATTCATCGAAGCTTCGTGGTAAGCAGCGACAAGTCGACTTTCCGGACCTCGCGACCTACAACACGATACTGGACATCATTACGCGCACCGTGCATCGAAGTGATCCTGCTCGTCGCTCGGCTGCGAAAGAAGAGCGATCGGATGAGGAGGCGGACGACGACGCAATGTCGAAGCTCACTGAACAGCACCTCGCATCGCATTCAGCTCAGGTCGACGCTTCCTTGGCGTCGAAGCTGCGTCGCTTCTACCTCAATCCAGATGCAGCGCCAGTTCATCTTGATGCTCACGAGCGTGCGGATCGACTCTTCCATTCAGTGCTCGAACGTATGCAGCGCATCAGTCACATCGAACCCGATCACATCACCTTCAACATCATGATCACCATGTACTGCCTGCTCGACCGATGGGACGCTGTGCATCGTATTGTTCGTTCTGCTGATGACAAAGGCCTACTGAACATCGATTGCGTCAACAATGCACTGGGTCACTGGCTAGTGCGTGGACCGGCTTCGGCGAAAAGGCTCGGAAACGATCGTGCTTCCGAACAGACAGCAACAGATACCGCTCTAGATGTGTATCGGCAACTACGACAGAACCTTGTCCATGCTCAACTCGCATCGCATGACTCGACCATCGCATATGGAGATCGGGACGCCAAGTCGCTGGTTCACCATCATTCGGACTCTCCTGCTGAACTCGGACCTCTGTCCTGGCCAGATAGCAACGAGAGGCCAGCATCTGACCGCTCGAGCAACTTGGCCGCCTCTGGTGGGAACGTTGCGATTGAGGCTACTCTTGGTATTTCTAGATTACCTATCAATATCGTCCCTGACGAGATTACGCACACCTTACTGATCAACAGCCTCGCACGCGATGGACGATTCGCCGATGCGCTAAGCGTATTCAAGGATCTCGTCTCCACACCAATCCGGCTGTCTGCCAAGGGACGCAAGGGAGGCAACATCCGGACAGCCGATGCCGAGTCAGCCGATGAGGGAACAGACGAGAAAACAATGCAACCTACACTGGCCATCTTTGACAGCTTTTTCCGCGGCTTCTCACGTCACGGGAGGCCAAGTAGAGCGCTCATACTTGACCTTGAGCATCCTGAGCGCAGCACGTGGGAGGAGGCTGCAAGTAGAAGGCCAGAAGAGGGAGAGGGGGGATCACAGCAAAGTGCACTGCAGAGCAATGAAGACGGACGTCATGCCCAGCAGCTTCAGTTGTGGAATATCAAGACGTTCCAGCAGATCTTTGACGCTTTCCTCAATTTCGAGCCAGACCTCAGTCAAGTGCTAGCTTCTGGTGCAAATGACAGGAGCGTCGAGGCTGCGGCTCGCACCATCTCGACACCTTTGGGATGGCTGACTTCCACGGAAAAGCGAAGACTAGATGGCCTTCGACGTACGCCTTCGACCAATCAACTTTTCTGGATTCTCACTGCAATTCGAAGAGTCAGCCACGACCACGCAGGCTGGAGTTTGGCCGTGTGGCAGAAGGTGGTGGACAAGTTCGGACCCCGCGATGCAGCAACGTCGTCATCACACGACGGGCTTGGCTGGATTGGATTTCGGCTGGATAATCGACTGGCTCGCGTGCTCGAGCATCTGGAAGCTCGTTTAGCTCAGGAACAGCAAGAAGAAGAGCAAGCTTCTGACATTGCCGGATAGAGTGCTTCATGACAGATGCGAATCAAAATGAGGCTTGAAGCGATCTCTTCAGGCTTTGGTTGTTGGAATGAACATTTTCTTGGCAATCTTACTGGGTGCAGATTGGGCGAACGATGCAAGTCAGATTGTGCAGTAGTTGGTGACACGATGCAACGCTCTACTGTCTATAGCACACCGACGGTTGAGTAAGGCTGAACAGCAGCTCAATGTTGGGCATCAATTTCTTTAGAGCTTCTTGCATTTTGAACACGGTCAGGCAGCATTCGTGTAGAAGAGAAGAATGAGGAAGATGACCTGGCCAGCCTTTCGACGATTCTTTTCGAGCGCGGTCATCGCAAGTAGCTCCTCAACTTGTACTCTGACGTGGATGACGCACAACCAACCTGCCTCTTGTCGTGAGTTCCACGCGTCGCTGGAAGACAGAGTCGCTGAAGGAAGCAAATTGAAGCGAGTTGCGAGGCTTCACAATTGACCGGAAATATTCAACGGTGAGTTATCTCAGGCGCCTGAAGTCTGTGTCAGAATGAACTTGACAAAGCGCAGCCAGGAGGCTTGCGCAAGAGGAGAGAAGATGATGGACAAGAAGCAACGAGAGCGACAGGAGATGAGATGAGCAATATGAAGTGACACGACTCAGGTCACGTGCCTTCGCCCACCATTGAAACGAGCGCACCTTCCATTCGCACGACTCGTATTTGCAGTCTACAGTATGTTTCTTCGCGCTGGCTAAACCTAACATCGTCTCAGCAAACGGCGCGACGAGCAATGTCGCTCACCCGCGACCACTTTACACCATTTCAGGCTTCTGGCAGCCTGAAGTGAAGCGGCTCTGCCTTTCTCCTCGTCCATTGAGCTAGAAACAGCGGTCAAAATTCTCCAGCTAGTCTGAGGCCTTGAGAGGCACATCGGAGGAGGTTCCCCTGCAAATTACACGCTGTAGAGCCCTTCCTTCTCTTGCGTGGCTCTCAAGCGAGGCCCGGAGGCCGTCTTCCGAAGTGGGGTCTCCTCCATCTCGACCCTGTGTGGAAGTCAGGCATTGTCGGTACAGAGCATTGTCAAGTGCCTATCCAGGACCTCTTGTGGGATGTAATATAGGATTTTCTGGGTCGTTGCAAGGCTCAGAGGTCTGGATCCGGCTGAATGCAGCGCCTTGACAGTCGGTGCATCCAGGAAGCATTACGACTGGGATGGTCAATATTTGCTGGAGTGACGTCGAGCCCTGCATCTAAAAAAATGACCGAGATGCCACAGAGACCGGCGAAAAAGTACATCTTTATTTTTTATTTTACAAAAAGAAAAGCAGAAATGTTTTTTTTTTTTTTTTTTTTTTTTTTTTTTTTTTTTTTTTTGACAGTTCGCTCGGAAGTGACTTTCCGACGCAGAGTTGACCCTGACCCCCTACTGTTGTATACCTCCTCCTCCCAATCTGCTCATCAGTGCTACCGAGCCCGCCATGGTGTCTGCGTGCTTGATCCCCACATCCGCTTCCTTCATTCCTATCACCGGTCTCCGCGTGGGTTTGGGAGTACACCTCGGAATTGATGCCCGGATAGTAGCCCGGAGGGCGTGGCCGTGCCGTAATGAGAAGCTCTTCGAATCTTGGCATGATGCTGTCGTCTTGTTTCATCCCAGTCAGTTTGAGTATGAATGCTGGCGTGCTTGATAGTCCTTCTTGCGATATCGTTATCTGCCTCATCCTAATGGCCTATATAAGGATCCAGCTTCCCTCCTCGCAGAATCGCATTTCATCGCCCCATCTTGCTCTACTCCTCTAAGCAACCAGTCCTCTCTTCACACCTGCACGCAGTAGTTGCGGTGCCAGCTCTTGCTTATGATGAGCGACCCAGCCGCCTTCAGTGGAGTCTCCACTCCTGCCAGCCCCACGGCAGCAGCTTCAGCAACCAACAGCGTCCACGACGATCACCCTATCGACATGTCCGATGATTCCACACCTGTTGAGCACCATGTCGACGTTCAACGAGCAAAGGCTGAGTTCGCCATGCTCGAGACCTCTCTTATTCGCCAGTCCGAGGCTACCCGACAGCGCAGCGCTCAGCCCAAGGATATTGAGAACGAGGCAACTTCCAAGGGTAGCGACCACGACGATGACTTCAACCTCGTCGAATACCTCCGCTGCACCCAGACCGAGAAGTCACATGCTGGCATCAAGTCCAAGCGTATCGGCGTCTCTTGGACCAATCTCGAGGTGCTTGGCAACGACTCCATGTCACTCAGCATCCGTACATTCCCTGATGCCATCATCGGCACATTCCTCGGCCCTATCTTCATGCTCATGGCCAAGCTCAACAAGAACAGGGGCAGGAAGCTCCTCCAGAACATGACAGGTGTCGCCAAGCCTGGTGAGATGGTCCTCGTCGTCGGTCGCCCAGGCTCAGGCTGCTCCACCTTCCTCAAGACCATCGCCAATCAACGTGCTGGATACATCGCTGTTAACGGCGACGTCAAGTACTCCGGCATCAGCAGCCAGGAGTTCGCACGCAAGTACAAGGGGGAGGCTGTCTACAACGAAGAGGACGATGTTCATTTCCCTACCTTGACTGTCAAGCAGACTCTCGAATTCGCTCTCAACCTCAAGGGTCCAGGCAAGCGTCTCCCCAATCAGACTGTCAAGTCGCTCAACCACCAGGTACTCGACACCTTCCTCAAGATGCTTGGTATCCCTCACACCGCTGACACCCTCGTCGGTTCGGCCGTCGTTCGTGGCGTCTCTGGTGGTGAGCGCAAGCGTGTCAGTATTGCCGAGTGCATGGCTTCTCGAGCTGCTGTGCTTAGCTGGGACAACTCCACCCGAGGTCTTGATGCTTCCACTGCTCTTGACTACGCCAAGTGTATGCGAGTCTTCACCGACCTCGTTGGCTTGACCACCTTTGTCGCTCTCTACCAGCCCGGCGAGGGTATCTGGGAGCAGTTCGACAAGGTCATGGTTATCGATGGAGGTCGCTGCGTGTACTACGGTCCCCGCGACAAGGCTCGCCAGTACTTCCTCGACCTAGGCTTCAAGGACTATCCTCGTCAGACTTCTGCCGACTTATGCTCTGGATGTACCGACCCCAACCTCGACCGCTTCGCCGACGGTCAGGACGTGACCACCGTACCTTCCACCTCCGAGCGCCTTGAGGAGGCCTACCACAGGTCGCCTATCTACCAAGACATGCTTCGCGAGAAGGAGGAGTACGATGCTCAGATCGCAGCCGACAACAGTGCTGAGAAGGAGTTCCGTGAGGCCGTCCTCGAGGACAAGCACAAGGGTGTTCGTCCCAAGAGTATCTACACCGTCAGCTTCTTCCGTCAGGTACAGGTCCTCACTGTTCGTCAGATGCAGATCATCCTCGGAAACCGCCTTGATATCTTCGTATCCTTCGCTACGACCATTGCTATCGCTTTGATCGTTGGTGGTATCTACTTGAACCTTCCAGAGACCGCTGCTGGTGCCTTCACCCGTGGTGGTGTGCTCTTCATCGGCCTCCTCTTCAACACTCTCACTGCTTTCAACGAACAGCCCACCCAAATGGGCGGTCGGCCTGTCCTCTTCAAGCAGATGAACTACGCCTTCTATCGACCATCCGCTCTCTCATTGGCCCAACTCTTTGCTGATATCCCCCTATCCATCAGCAAGATCATGCTTTTCAGTATCATCCTCTACCTTATGGCAGGACTCGAAAGATCAGCCGGTGCATTCTTCACCTTCTTTATTATGGTCTACTTCGGCTATCTAGCCATGTCGGCTCTGTTTCGTCTCTTCGGAATGGTCTGCAAGTCTTACGACGTCGCGGCGCGACTTGCTGCTGTCATCATTTCGGCCCTGATCGTCTTCGCCGGTTATGTGATCCCCAGGAACGCTATGTACAGGTGGTTGTTCTGGATCTCCTACATTAATCCCCTTTACTTCGCTTTTTCCGGCGTCATGATGAACGAGTTCAAGGACCTGTCCCTGGCTTGCGTTGGACAATATATCGTGCCTCGAAACCCGGCTGGATCGAGTCAGTACCCTAACAACGTTGGCGAGAACCAGGTTTGCGTTCTACCAGGAGCTCAGCCCGGCCAGCAGTTCGTCTCAGGCAATGACTACCTGAGGGCCAGCTTCGGATACGACTCGAGCGACCTGTGGCTATACTTTGGAGTCGTCGTCATTTTCTTTGTTGGCTTGGTCGGGGTCACGATGGCCGCCATCGAATTTTTCCAGCACGGTCACTATTCGAGCGCGCTCACCATCGTCAAGAAGCTGAACAAGGAAGAGCAGAAGCTCAATCAGCGCCTCAAGGAGCGCGCCTCGATGAAGGAAAAGGACGCCAGCAAGCAACTCGATGTCGAATCCAAACCGTTCACGTGGGAAAAGCTCAGCTACACGGTTCCCGTCAAGGGAGGGAAGCGACAGCTGCTCAACGACGTTTATGGCTACTGCCGCCCTGGCACTCTGACCGCGCTCATGGGTGCCTCTGGTGCAGGAAAGACAACACTCCTTGACGTCTTGGCTGATCGCAAATCAATTGGTGTCATCAGCGGTGATCGCTTAATTGATGGCAAGGAGATCGGGGTAGAGTTCCAACGAGGCTGTGGTTATGCTGAACAGCAGGATATTCACGAAGGCACCGCCACTGTTCGAGAGGCCCTCCGCTTCAGTGCATATCTCCGTCAACCTGCCCACGTACCTAAGGCTGACAAGGACGCTTACGTAGAGGATATCATCGAACTGCTGGAGATGCAGGACATTGCTGATGCCATGATCGGTATGCCCCAGTTCGGATTGGGTATTGGAGACAGGAAGAGGGTCACCATTGGTGTTGAGCTTGCTGCTCGACCTGACCTCCTGTTGTTCTTGGACGAGCCTACCTCAGGACTGGATGGCCAAACAGCTTACAATGTCGTCAGGTTCCTGAAAAAGCTGGCAGCTTCTGGCCAGGCGATTCTGTGCACCATCCACCAGCCCAATGCTCTCCTGTTCGAGCAGTTTGACCGTCTCCTACTCCTGGAACGTGGTGGCAATACCTGTTACTTTGGCCCAATTGGACCAAATGCAGAGCATATCGTCAAGTACTTCGCTGAGAGGGGAGCTCAATGTCCTCCTAGTGTCAACATGGCAGAGTACATGCTCGATGCTATTGGAGCTGGCTCCATGAAGAGGGTAGGAAACAAGCCTTGGTCACAAGTCTATCTTGAATCTAGTCTCTTCCAGGAAAACCTGGCAGAGATTGAAAGGATCAAGCAAGAGACTAGCAGCTCTTCGCACGGTGCAAGCAATAGCAAGAAGACCGAATACGCCACACCTTTCCTGTATCAGGTGAAGGTGGTCCTTCAGCGAGCTCTCCTTAGCACCTGGCGACAACCCGATTATCAGTTCACCCGTCTTTTCCAACACGCTGCTATTGCTCTTATTACTGGTCTCTGCTTCCTTAACCTCGACAACACCGTTACTTCTCTCCAGTACCGAGTCTTTGGTATCTTTATGGCCACTGTTCTTCCTACCATCATCCTGGCGCAGATTGAGCCCTTCTTCATCATGGCGAGGTCAGTCTTTATCAGGGAGGATTCTAGTAAGATGTACAGCGGAGCGGTGTTCGCCATCACCCAGCTCATCCAGGAGATCCCCTTTGGCATTGTTTCAAGCGTTGTCTACTTTGTCCTCTTCTACTACCCGGCAAGCTTCCAGACGGGCTCTGATCGAGCAGGCTACTTCTTCGCTATGCTACTCATCACAGAGCTCTTCGCTGTGACTCTCGGACAGGCTATTGCTGCTATCTCCCCGTCGATCTATATCGCTTCGCTTTTCAACCCTTTCATGATCGTGATTCAATCATTGTTGTGTGGTGTTACCATTCCCTACCCCAACATGCCGACCTTTTTCTCCTCATGGCTCTATCACATCAATCCTCTCACTTACCTCGTCGCTGGCTTGGTTACAAACGAGATGCACGATCTTCCAGTTCGTTGCGCGGACAACGAGTTCGCGCGCTTCCAGCCCCCCAGTGGCGAGACTTGTCAAGCGTGGGCACAGACCTTCCTGGCCGCCTTTGGCGGCTACTTGGAGAACCCGAATGCGACATCCGATTGCCAGTATTGTCAATACTCGAACGGCGACCAGTTTTACGCAGGTCTGAACACAAAGTTTTCAGAACGGGGTCGAAACATTGGCGTTATGATCGCTTTCGTCGCCTTCAACGCTTTCATCACTATCATCGCTTCTCGCTACATTAAGTACGCTAACCGTTAGACCACAGCCTCTTTATTCACTATAGACTTTCGTTGTTCATACTTCACTCATTACGGACGATGCAATCTCAGCTCGTTACTTGACATCGCTTGACGCTGCAGTGTGTGAGACTTGGTGAATCAGAACTGAGACACGCGACTCTGGCATCAACATTGTCACGCCTGGGTACTCTCTCGTGCGAATACCAGCCGCACGAGAAGGCTTGATCGATACCCTCTCGCGCGAATACACGTCGCGCAGGAAAGTTCGATACTATCATGCAAATCTTTGATCATACTTCGTTGCTTGTACGAAGGGAATCGGGCTGAGCCGATGCAAGACAGAGATCGGATACAACCATGTCCCACTCGTTGTTACACACTGTCATTAGGTATGATATGCCCACAGTCAGGCATGCACCACATGTTTGTATATACAGTATGCACATAAACTGTCCCAAGATTTTACATGTCACCATACATCACTCTAATGCTCAATAGCTATAAGTTGTATTGCCACACTGTCTGATATCATCTGAAAGTGCTGCTTCTTCTCTCCAAGACTGTGGAATTGATATTGACATTGACTAAAAAAATTGTGCTATGAAGAAGAGCTGAAATTTTTTTTATTGTGGGACAGTTTATGGAGCACTCCTCAAGAACACCTTAGTACTTTGTATTCCCTCCTTTGGCCTTCAGAACTGCCTTGATGCAGTCTGGCATGCTCTCTATTAGTATCCTACATGTCTCTGGAGTGATCGCTGTCCATTCAGCTTTGCATCTCTTGAGCAGTTCATCCCTGGACTTTGCAATTGTACTATACCATGAAAGTCACATTTTGAGATGGTGCCAGAGGTGTTCAATTGGGTTCAAGTCCAGCAACTGCCCTGGCCATTGCATAACCTTAATGCTATTGCCTTCCAACCACGTTTTTGTCTTCTTTGACATGTGTTTTGGGTCATTGTCTTGCTGAAACATGACATTGGTGTATGCATGCTGAAGCTGCAAATCTGAGATTGTTTTCAAAAGCTTGTCATTCAGGATATCAATGTATTGGTCTGAATTCATTGAACCCAGCACCAAGCATATACCTCCAACCCCTTCCCACATCATACAGCCCCAGATCATGATGGAGCCACTGCTGAACTTGACCATCAGCCTGACAAGCTTGCTGTTGAAGCTGGCATTCTTAATCCAACAGAACTGCTTCCCATCCAGTCCAAAGAAGTTGATCTTCATCTCATTGGACCATACCACATTCTTCCAATCCTCAACAGTCATGTCCTTGTGCTCATTTGCAAATTTGAGATGTGCTTTGTAATGCCTCTTGAGTAGCTTCAGTTTATTCACTAACCTTTGTGCTTTGTAATGACAGTAATGAAGTGCTTTTCTTACTGTCATTGGGCATGCTTTGATGTGAAATGTCTCCTGCAGTGCATGACATGCTTTTCTGACTGTGGACATTGAATTGAGCTCAAAATAGTGGTCTAGGAAGCAAACATGATGAGGCTGGAGTTTTCTCAGCTGGCCCCCCTTTGACTTTGGAGCATCAGCAGAGGCACTTTTGCTGATGCAAGACACCATAGACTTGCTCAGACCAAGTTTCTCAGCAACTGAACAGGTAGATTCTCCATTTTGGAGGTGAAAGAGTGCCAATTGGTGCTTCTCGAGAGTGGTTTTTGTCATGATGGTATAGATATGATGGTGTCAGACTGGAAGTGCTGCCAGATTGCTCACAGTCATCTGATTGAGCTGAAACTTTCCATGTCACTACTTTTGATGTGTATGAAGGTGCCCACCAAGTTACATTACAAGTTTCATTGTAGTCAAAAGCCCACAAGGTCAGGAATGAAGTGGTGTCACTATTTGGGAGCATGCTCCATAAACTGTCCCACAATAAAAAAAAAAATTGGCTCTTCTTCATAGCACAATTTTTTTAGTCAATGTCAATATCAATTCCACAGTCTTGGAGAGAAGAAGCAGCACTTTCAGATGATATCAGACAGTGTGGCAATACAACTTATAGCTATTGAGCATTAGAGTGATGTATGGTGACATGTAAAATCTTGGGACAGTTTACATGCATACTGTAAGTCTGGCAGGGAGCTCGAGGCTCCCGCCACATTCACTTCTAGTATGTCAATATAGTATAGTGTTTTGCTCTTTAGCTCGAACACCGTACTTTGACTGATATCTCCCGATCATCGTCGCCGAGTGTCTCCTTTATTTCCAACATACCATTCCTTCCTAAACATAAAGTAGCTGTACTGGGACCAAACGTCCATTTGCGATGAATCTTGAAGGGGGGAGTGACCTTGGTATTGAAAATGCGAGCGTTAATAACACCAGTGTTGCTAATCCGGATGCCCAGGCGGCCGGTATTATCTCTTGCGTTCCTGTTGCGAGGATTCATTGCGGCTGTGGTTTTACTTCTGTAATCCCTTGACGCACCTGGACGCTGGTATGGTAACGAACGAGATGCATGATCTTCCCGTTCGATGCTCGCCTAGCAAGTTTGCTCGCTTCCAACCTCCCAGTTGCCAGATATGTCAAGCGTGGGCATTCCTCGACGCCTTTGGTGGCTATCTTGAGAGCCCCAATGCGACAGCAAATGGCAAGTACTGCCAGTACTCTATCGGAGACAGGTTCTACGCAGGGCTCAACGCCAGCTTTTCACAGCGAGGTCGCAACATTTCTTGTTTACATCTGCTTCACGGACGTTCCTTGCAATGTGGATATTTTGGCTCTTTCTCTTCTGCGTCTGTGTCCCATGAATTGGCCTTGTTTGCAAGCTTTATAGGACAAACTCAGCCCGCTGTCCTTCCCGTTGTCTTTTGGCCTCCATTTTGTTCTGAAGAATCACCCCCTGAGATTGGCATTGTCACCTGTGTATCATGATGGAATATCGCCGTCGACCCGCGGCGGAATGATTCCTAAGCGCCCTGTCTAAAAAGCCGCGATGTTTGACAGCCAGATCGGATCGACCTAAGGTGAATTTTTTCACGCATCGCCGATTAAGCACGTGACTAGCTCTGAATCCAAATTGCGGGTCGTGCGGGTGACTGACTGGCATCTCAACTCCTTCTGCTGCGTAATCTCACAGCTATCCTCTCCATCATCACGACACATACACACCAACAATGTTCGCAGCACCAATCCTCAGAAACGCAGCCTCATCCTCGTCATCTACTGCGACGGCCCCTGCGTTCTCGCAAGCCCACAAGTCGTACGTCAAGTCGCTCTACCGACGATACCTCAATAACTCGCTCGATTGGTGCATTCGCCGAGACGTCTGGAGAGACCGCGCTATCGAGATCCGTGTAGAGTTCGAGCGCCATCGCAACGTTCGCAACCCTCGTGAGCTTGCAAACCTGTTTGAGAAGGCCGAACGAGAGCTTAAGCGTATTCAGCACCCTGATCCTCACCGACGTAAGTTCCCAACCAACCGGCTGCGCGGCTTCTTTGAAGCGCAACAGACGAATGCTTCTCGTGCAACCGTCCGTACTGACATTTTGATTTTTCTCTGCTTTGCTGCCCTGCAAAATCTCACAGCTGCAATGTTCGAGGGCGGCACAAAGTGGGAGCGCAACCTGCCGCCTCCCATGTTCTCCGAAGCCGAGAAGAAAGCCGCTCTCCAGCAACATCACTGAACCACCCCTTCTCACAGTCGACGCATCGAATCATACAGCTACGGATCTCACAGTATAGGATTCTTTTAAAAGGAATCGAAACCAAGTCATTGCATCCGTTCTAATCAGCAGTCGCAAACAAACCTGGAAGAAGAGTGTCCTGAGGGAGGCAATCCGGGTCCTGCGATGCAGGTTGTGATCCCTGAGCTTAACTCAGGATGAAGGAGCAAAGTCTTGTTCGGACTTGAACCTGGAGGGGGTTAACGGAATCTTTCAAGGAGCTCAGTCTCTAGACGACAGCAATCGCTCAACAACAAACACAGATTTCGGTCTTCGCTCGCAAAGACAGGCACGAGACAAGAGAGATGAATTCATTGCGTAGTCAGGACATTACGGAGCGAGCAAAGAGATGCTTCGAACTCCCTTTGTGGTAGCGACATACATGTTGTCCTCGTCATCACCACTTGTTGAGCTAGCCCAGACAGCTTGAACAATCGGCTCATCACCGAGTCTCTGGTCGATGAGAGGGTCGCGTGCATTTCGCATATCCCACACCCTGACATGTCCGTCTTCCGCTCCATGGGCAAAGATCGCTCGCCGAGTCGGATGGAATGTGCCTCGACCCAGAGGTAGCTTGCCTTCTGCATCGTTGAGCCAGCCAAATGAGATGACGGGTCTTGAGATCGGTCCATTGCGGCCGGTGATATCAAACATACGGAATTGGTCGTAGTCACGGCGGGCGAGTATCCCAAGCATCAGCTTTGGATCGGGCGTGCGCTGAAGATGCACAATGCGGTCGCTCGTATTCCATGAGAAACCTAATGTCAGAGCACCGAGATCATAGCCTATGACGGTCCCAATAGAGGCAGACGCCAGAATGTTGGATCTAGAGGAGAGATGCTCCAAGGCGACGACTGGCTTACCATCGTGAAGCGTGTGGAGCCGTTGAGTTTCAGCTCTGGTCGGTCTCGCCTTCCACCTCCAATGGTTGACGATGCCATCCATGCCACCAGTGGCAAAGTCAATCGAAGAGGCTTTGTCCGGGTCAGTACGTGGGAAGTGAGAGATGCTAGCGGCGCCTTGAGTATGAGGTCGCTCATCGAGATGGTACGTGCGGCACGCTCGACCAGCATCGTCTACCGTCACCAAGCTCACCTGACTTGGGTAGGCGTTGTGATTTCCCAACCCAAGGAATTTTTTGGTCGATGAAGCAATACCGCAGACCTTGGACGTCAAGCGTGAAACATCTTCCACCCGATCAATGGGAGAAAAGCTCTTCTCACCCTTGCCTTTGCCCTCGGAATCGCGTGCTTGAAACTGCATCAGCTTCCGTGGAAGGCCAGGGTCCAGCTCCTCCGAGCTGGTTGCCTGCTCTTCCGCATACATGGCGATGCGACCATGTTCGCTGACTCCAATCGCCGCGTCGAAGACGTTAGCTCGGCTGCGTACCGAAGCCTGGGCATCCATGGCTGCGCTCGCGACCGGGACAAAGTACTTGATGGACATGCCAGGGGCACCTGAGAATGCTCTGAACTGTTTGAGACCCAGCACCTTGGGCTCGAATGACATGGATGGCCACGTCGAGTTGTCTTCGTTGCGGCCTCGAGTAGATCGAACAGAGGGTGTCGCTGACGATTGTCGATAAAGCAGATCTCGCAAAGGTATGTTTTCTTCTGGATCCGAGTCGGCACTGCTAGGATGTCGTGCTAGTGATGTCAAGCTTAGCGCTTCAGCGAGTGGACGACCATCTTCGTCATCATCGTCTGTGCCCTCTTCGATGGTTGGAGGGCACTGCAGGGTCTCCGGCACTGCAATGTCAGAAACACCTTCGTCTAAGAGCTCATCGACTTCTTCCAACTTTTCAGCCTTAATCGAGAATGTGTTAGCTTCAGCGGTGCTTCTGGACTCGGTCAGGGCTTGCGCTACTGGCGCTGGTACCGTAAGGGGACGGGCTGCGGCAGACGGGATGGGTTCAGCGTCCGAAAGCTGCTCCAAGTATCGTGCCAGCTCCTCGGCCTGTCGGGCCTCTTCCAGCATATCCTCGTGGGAATGCTGTCGACTGGACACACGGGTAGGTTCAGGTGTACGTTCGAAGATAGATAGAATGCCACTGAGCTGAGCAAGCTTCGGAGAGACGGAAGGTGATCGTACTGATGCTTTTGTTGCGATCGAAATCTTTTCCGCCGCGGTCTCAGGCTGTGATAGGCGAGGCGGAGACGGCGGAGGAGTGAGCACGGCCTCAGATCGAATTGTATCCCTGGTAGTTGCCTCCGTGTGTTCTGCTGAAGGCAGCGGCAAGGTTGAGGGCGCGTCGACCTGCGGCACAACGGCTCGTGAAGCATCGAGTTGTTGAGTGCTGTCCGGACGATTACCACTTGCGACGTCGACATTGCTGTAAGGCATGTTCTGTCTCTTCCATCGTTCAATGTCGTTCCAAGAGAGGTCGAAGATACGCGGACCGAAGGTCTTGACGTAGTGCTCGATGACCTGTAAAGCATAGCACCCGATGTCGTCAACATCGCGAATCTGATGCGAAGCATTAACAATGATAGGATCGTTCGGCCGCAAGGCCATCTCTTTCTCGTTGAATGCGGCCGCGTTGATGTGAGACGTCTTGAGTCCCAAAAGCTCGAGATAAACATTGCGGGCGTAGTTGACGAGATCGATAACGTACGCACGTTCTTCTTCAGCCGTTTGCCCTGGCGGCGGACAGGGTAGGAGCTTTGCAGCACAGTGATAGAGCTCGACACGGATTTGAAGCAGTGTCAACAACAGTTTACGACAATTGCGGATGGCAAGACAGACGGAGTCACTGAAGTTCTTTTGTCGTTTCAGCCACTCTCCGGCTTGAGAGCGAGCAGCGTGCACCTCCTTGTTGCTCTTTTTGTTGAGGCTTTCCCGTAGGCGATTGACCGAGATTGCAGGTGTTGGTCCGGGCTTGGCGTTTGCGATCAGGCGTTCAGCCTCCGTTCTGCTCTTGTGAGGCCACAGACGGATGTTCGGATTGACATCGTCGATCGTGATCAAGCGCGACTGCTCGAGCTGATCCCTGACAGTAGATGGCTCCGTTAGGGTTGCGTCTGCTGCCAGCAACGATGAAGGCGCATTGTCGAGTCGAGGCTTCTTGGGAGGAGGTTGCTTCGCAGGCTGCTGATCCCTTTGGCGCGCTTGTTGCTTCTGCTTCTGTTGCTCTTTGAGCTTTTCCCTCTGATCTTTGGGAAGTGGATACGTTGGTGCTCCTGCTGGCGGCCGTAGAGCGGTAGAGCAATAAACGCTGACGGGGGGATGTGAGATGTTGCCGCGATTGTAAGGCGGTGGCCGTTGGGGTAGGGGAAACGGACGGCTTGGCTGAGTCTGAGCTGGTCCAGTGGGTATATGCGGTGGTCTCGCACTGTTCTTCCTTGACTTTGCCATACCTATGGATGGAGGAGCCGAGATCTCCCAAGGCTTGGCCCTCGTCTGGTTCTCGTTTGGTTGAGCGTCCTCGGACCGTAATGCTGCAGATGGTGGAGCAGCCCTATTACGTCTCGATGGTCCCGGTCTCGATGGTCCAGGTCTCGGTGGTCGAGGTCGAGGCGTTAATGCGCTGGTTCCTGTACAAGCTGAGAAGTCGAACGTCCGAGTGATGCGGCCAGATGGGGTTGGTGGTCCTGGAGCAGATGGCCCAGCTGCGGCCGAGCTCGAGGTCGAGCTCTCAGAAGAGATCTGATTGCTTTGATGCGCTTCATGGCTGAGTCGATTCCAGACCTGATGCTGACTCTTGTTGTTGCTCTTCGGAGCACCTGGATCGAAGGCATCTAGCCAGTCCATTGCGTGCAGATGCCTGCTGCGCCCTCGGCTTTCCTTACTCGATGGGGAAGGTTTCCTGCGGCGAGGGCTTTTACCACATCTTGCCTCCGTTTCCAATTGGAAACTTCGATGCAAGCTTGTTCTGCGCAAAGATGTTGTCTTGTAAGACCTTTCGGAAAGCGACGGTCTTGAGGGTCCTGCGGTCGGTGTGGCTTTTGTGTGCCTTGGCCAAAGGACTACAGTGAAGGAAAGACAACATTGAGCACCTCGAAAGCTTGGATCTCTTCCTTGGATTCAAGGGTCTGCAAGCACAAGCAAGCGTCTTCTCCTCCACTCATGCTCAAAAAAATCCTCACTCCAGAGCACGTAAAAATTGCCGACGCGGCATACATCTTGTGTCTCTCCGAGTTCCGAACTACAAACACCATCTTATAACTGTTGCAATGTGAAGAAGTTTTGTCCCGATAACCGACGATCGGGAAGAGTATTGCCGATCAAATGTGTGTGATGGCCATGCTTCTGTAACTAGTGAATAAAGACGGTAGATTGTGACTATATGTTCACACGAAGCCACCGCGCGACTCGAGCTCCTTCTTTCGTGCTTCTGCTGCTTGCAAGCGCTTCTCGAGCTCTTGCAGCTCGTTTGTCTGCTCCATTAGTATGGACTGACGGTGACGAACACGATCCTCGATTCTTTTGAGCTCTGCATCCTTCGCAATTGTGTCGGCTGCTGGTGCTGTAGATGCTGCAAAGTTGGAGAAGGAGCCAGAGTTGGAGATTGGAATGGCAGGGCTGTAGGGTCAAACGTCATGTTTATCGACAGCAGGGTATCAAGATGTTGAATGCAACGCAGGAAAAGATATGAGGTCAGCGCTCTTCTCAACTGTGGTTTGATCTGCGTCTCAGGGATGGGCTGTGTGTGCGGGCTCGGGCTGGTCCTGGTTCTGGCTGGGGCAATCTATGACATTGGCTCATGAGACACCGGAGCATCTCTCCGTGAGCGCCTATAGTGATAAGAAGTTCGACAGCTGTCGAGCTGAAGATACAGCGTGACCTGCAGTGTGGCTCGGGAATGGGGACAAAGATGCTCACAGAGCAGAGTTGGCGTTCTTGCCGGCTCCGGGCGACGACTCGCCATGATGGGCAGCAATGTCGCCCGAGGTAGGCTCAGCTACAGCACCGCCAGTGGCGACGTCCTGTACGTGAACAAGAGGGCACTCCTCTGAGTCGACAGAAGAGGTGTCAAATTGAAAGAGTCGGACTTCGGCGTTCTTCCAGGGCTGTGATCAGAAAGGGAACGCATCGGAGCGTGAAGAGGGTCAAGTCAGCTCTAGTTAGGTCCTATTGATCATGTCGAGCTTTCGGCATACGCACGTAGGGCTGCTGAGTGATTCTACGGAGAATGTCGCCGTGGGCCATGACAACAATGTCCTGTTCCGGTCGACTGCGGAGGTACTGACGAACCCACTGAGCACGCTTGTTAAGTGTCTCTTCGTCGGCGGCGTAGAAGCCCTGCTTGCTGGTCCAGTCAGGCGTCAATGGCGAGAGGTCGAAACCTTGAAGCTCGGGATCACGCTCGAGCACTTCTCTGGGTGAGCCGGTGTCGCAAGGGAAGTCATTGCACTCCTGGAGTTGAGGAAGCAATACGACCTTGCCTAAGCCACCAAGTCGCTCGATAAGAGGAGCATAGCCGATCTTGGTGCTCTGTAAGGTGCGCTTGAGACCGGATGAGAGGATGACCTCAGCACGCGACTGCAAGTCCTGAGTCAAGGAGGGCAACCTTGCAGATTGCTGCTTGCCGAGAGGAGTCAAAGGAGCATCTGGGATCGAGTAGTCGTCGGCGACGTTCTGTCATGATCAAATAGGCAAGGATGAGTAGATCAAGTCAGAGTCGAGACGCTTCCGATTCGAGTATCATCGCTGATCAACTTACGTGCTCGGCCTGCGAGTGTCGCGTCAAGTAGATACGGGACTGAGGAGCCATCTTTGTGTACAAGCAGCTCTGTAGGATGACTGTATACGTCCAGAGGAAGGGAGAACACCGTGGCTAGGTGGAGGTGGTGGAGTGGTTGAGAGAAGCTCCAAGTGATCAAGCTTCTTGTTTCCTGCGGCTACGCGAGGCACAGCCAACACCCGAAAGCAAGATCTGACGCAGAGCAACACTCTTTCTCCTTCATGTGGACATGACTCCTGACAACATGCTGAGCAGAGCGACGCTTCTTCTTCGAGAATTAGCATGCGTCAACGGCGAATTCCTGTGCTCTGACGTGAGTGAATCTGCAACCGCCAGCTCGAACACAGGGTGTAAATTAGATTACCATCTGATGGCAGAATGGCACAAATTTTGGCCATCCCAAGCCTGACTCACACGGCCGCACAGATGAGGATCAGTCGGGCGATACAGAAAACGCTACAGAAGCCATGTTAGATTTCCGGGTGGGTCTCGTGTCAGCAAGGTGGCTCGCTGGCTCACCAAGTCACGTGCAGCAGACGTTCTGGCCACAATGGCGCTTTCAATATGCTTTTCAAGGCTATCCGTGGGGACTCCTTTATCTTCTTAGATGTAGCATTGCATAGCATTATCATGGGGCCCCTCTGGGGGTTAAGCGCGGGGCAGACACGTTTGGCGTGTCTGATCTGAATCTCTGCGAAAATGCCTTACACGCAGTCCATCCGAGAATTGGTGGTCTGACACTCGAAATGAAATGCTCAACTTCGAGCTTCAGAATTGGGTGTCAAGCAAGTGTCATTGGTCAGTATGCTAGATCGTCATGGAAGCTCTCAATACGCTGTACGGATGGTGTGTGGTCCGGTGTCTCTGTCAGGAGCCCGACGCAGCGGAAACAAGGCCGCGTAGGGGATCCCACACTTGACCCTCCTTCGCCCACCGCCAGATAAGATCTGCACGAAGCTCCTTGTCGAGCGGCATCACCGACTTCCACCCTGGCTCTGGCTCTTTCGATGCGTCCATAGACATTGTCGGTGTCGTTGTCACCGCGTGATTGAGCAGGCATGTTGCCACGAGCAAGAGAAAGACATTGGGTGTCACAATCTCCTGTATCAAGCCATAGAAGTTGACTTGTCATGCTAAACCATGCACTCGCACTGATTCGGTACGAGGCTCAGTTTCTGCATCCCTTTCCAACTTGGCTCGTGGAGGAACTAACGCTGACTTCCTCCCGCGCTTGGCAGTGCAGTGAGCGGATGTCACACCGCCGAGTTTGATCCCTTTGCTGGCTTCGAAGTACGGAGAGGTCCTCTGTTCGAGTCTGTGCCTTCTCCTGACAGCACATGGCTTGCACTCTGTTGCGGATGAGCCTGCGAGTATGGAGGGCGAGCCAGATTCCTTGTTGTCTCTCAAATGATTTGTCTTGCTTCGACGTCCAGCCGTCATCCTGCTACGTTTCCATGAGTCAATCTAGCCCTGGAATGACATCTGATAGGTCGATCGAAGCACCAGGAACTTTGGAAGCACTTCAAAGTGATCTTGCATCAGTCGAATACGCCGTCAAAGTCCGATGCCGGTGATGCCCTGACTGTGTTTAGAGTGACGGAAGATTTTGGGTCGGATATGCTGGTAATGTTGCAAGTGCGGTGGCAATGGGTGCCATCTAGGGTCCTGACATCTGCTTTTCATGCGCGCGCGTGCGGACAGAAACAGAAATCACAGAGAAATTGGGGTCACAAAAATCGTCACTGCGCCGAAGCTCTGATCTCTTCGCTCTCTGCTCACAGAGAGACAGGAAACGGAGCTGCTGTGGATGAGACGTGTAGTGAACGGATGTTTGCTGATATTTATCCTATAATACAGCTATAGTGCCAGGCTAAGGATGCGTTTGGGGGGGTCCGGGTATCAATAGCAAAAGTTCAAGCTTAGAATGCAACGCTGGAAGCGGCTCCCTTCATGACAGGCGAATGGGACCAGGTCCAGATTGCACGTCATCTTCATCTCCGCTGCGCCTGCGCGAGACAGTCTCGACACCGCGCATTGCGAGGGTCAAGAGACAACGGATTGCAAGGAAAAGACCGAGGAACAGCACTGTTTGTGAAAGAATCAGGCCAGCTGTGTCTTCGACTCGCAGGCCAGTGATATTGTAGAGTGCCCAGCGCCATGTGTGGTCCATCCAGCGTGCAACCGAGCTGTCCAAACCTGTCGATGGAGTGCCAACGTACTTTCCAAACACCTTGAGCTGACACGCCGGATCGATCTGCATGTGAATACCGTGGCAGAGCTCCATGATGAGCGAACCGCGCTTGTCGAGCTTCATGAGACCGATGCGGTCATCGAGGTAGATAGAACTCTGTCGGAGTGGCGTGGGCTCGTTCGGATCGCCCTTTTGAGCAGTCTCGGTCTCGTTGCGAACGGGATAAGAAGCAAACCAGGATGACTGCTTGGGTTCGACGGTGGTGTCCTTGTCGAACATGATCATGACAAAGTTTTCTAGCGAGGCAAGATTCTTTGCATAGGTTGCGTTGGTCTTTTCTCCCTCATTGTTGATATCTTTGATGAAGTCGTTCTTTTCGAGGTACGAGGCAAAAGCCTTTGGGTCCTTGGGGGTGCGGTAGTATTGTGCCAAGACGAGGTGTGATTGAGCGTAGTCGGTGTAGATGCCTCCGCGCAGAGCGGTTTCAGCAACACGGCACAGTAGATCGGCGGAGCCACACGCTGGAAGGTCGGCAATACCCATGTGCTGGCTGCCGAACGTGACAAGATTGCGGACTTTGGGAGTGTTGCAACGCTGAACGTAAGCGCGGAGGAATTGTCCGCCTTGCGAGAAGCCAATGGCGTCGAAGCCGTCACGCAGCTCGTCGATAGCGGCTAGCTGCTCGCATGCATTCTGCACCTGATCATTGATGTGACCGAAGAAGCCCTGTCTGCGATCTTCCGAATCACTGGTGGCATCCTGCGTCACGGAGTGAATATAAAGGCCAGGGAAAGCTTCCTTGAGCTGTGACATGAAGGTCTCGATGCCCTCAGAATGAGCGCTGTCGCCAAGGCCATGCCATATGACAAGCGGGTGCGGTTTCGGTAGCAGTGAGAAGGGTACGGCTTGCGCTGAGCTGGACAAGAGTGCCACTGAAGCTGCAAGGGTGCCGATGAGGCCGGCTATGCAAAGACGCATCTTCGAAGTGTATAGGGTAAGGAGGGAAGTTAAATCGATTGAACTGGGTGGAGATGCCGAGGTGATCGCCTGTATGTCAGCTGAAGAGCGGAACTGGTGGCTTCTGTGGGTCTATGGGAGTTGAGAACAGGTCGAGGAGAGGTATAGTCAGTTGTTTGAGTTGGTCAGGAGCGGGAAAAGGGTCTTGATGGTCTCAGCATTCCGCAACTCTGATGAACGCGTCAATCTTGAACCTCAATCCAGGGTCCAAAACTCTCTCACTCGGACGAGAAAATTAAAATGCACACGTGAGCTGGACACTGACGTTCAAGCTATGGATTCCACCTGTCTCACACTCCACTGCAACCAAGAGCCACTGCAACCAAGAGCGGCAAGGTCTGCGGAAAGCAACACTCGTACTCACCTTTTGGACGTTGGCTATCTTCCAATCCTCGTCACTCTCCTCTCGTCTCCACTTAGTCGCCGATCCCGCAGCTGTGCCTTCGAGGATGACTTTCAAAAACCTGACGCTGTACACCACCTCGGCGGTGCTGATTCTCGACACCGATGGCAACCGCGTGATGGCCAAGTATTATCAACCACCACATGCTGCTAACTTCCTTTCGACAGCAACAGTGGCACAGCAGAACGCAGTCGCAGCCACAACTCCACAACTCTCCGCCAAGAATCCGTTGTCAACATTGAAGGAGCAGCGAGCATTCGAAAAGGCCATTTTTGACAAGACCAAGCGAGCAACGGGCGATATCATTCTCTATGATTCGCAACTCGTCCTCTTCAAGGCATCGCTTGATGTCATTTTCTACGTCGTTGGCCCGGCGGCCGAGAACGAGCTAATGCTCTCTGGTCTACTCGGCGCATTCTACGACGCTACAAGCATGTTGGTGCGTCACCAGGTGGAGAAGCGTGCTATCCTGGAGAACTTGGATTTGGTTACCTTGGCGCTGGACGAGACGGTTGACGACGGCATCATTCTTGAGACGGACAGCACTACCATTGCATCGCGTGTGTCCCGCCCACGACCGGATGTCAACGAGATCCAGATCAACGAGCAGAGTGAGTTCAAGCGGAAATGCCAATACCTAGTTAGAATCTCCTTGGCGTGCCTGTCCAGGGTCAAGCGGTTCCTTCGACAGTTACCACCATTGCTATTGACGCTGACATGCTCATCCTTTGTGCTTCTTCTTCTCCTACAGCCATCATGAGCGCATATTCGAGTCTCAAAGAGCGGGTTGCGCAGAGAATCTTGCAAGGAGGTCTCTGATCGACTCGCATTCCCATGTTATCTTACTTTTTCGCATGCTTGCAACATGACACACCGAGTTGCTTGAACGGCAGCAGCATCATTCTTACTTGTACAGTACAATACACAAATCGATCCGGCATCTCCCCACCTCTTGTTTCATTCCGATGCGAATTGGTCTGATACTGAGACTACAGCACTTGGAACGACACATTGACATTGACAGCTTTGACCTTGATAGCCTTCACACTTTGAGATATAGATGGGCATTTGGGAAGCTTTCGAACCGTTCACTCCCAGCTCATCATTGTCACATCAGATGCGTTTTGCAGGCAGAACTATTCGGGAGATGTACGTTGATGAGAGCGTCAGACATAGGGCTATTCTCTTGGATGAGCATGCGTCGAATCGGGTCACGATCTTTCTGCGATTCACTCGGGCAAGGGGCAGCAGACGAAAAATAGCCAACTTGACTGCCAATCCCCAGCTGCGATCGCGACAGACGGGGATAGCAGACATGCTTGACAAAGCGCCTCGACGGCGGCAGAGCGGATCGTGTCGCGCAAAGTGCCGGAGAACAGACAAGGTCGAGAAAGCTCTCCTTTCCAAAATAAAATCTAACACACTGTCAGTTCACAACCGAAATGCAATTTACAGAACAATCGACGACGCGTATCAGCTGGGCGGTTGGCCTGTGTCTGTCTTGCTCTCTTAATTATCGAAACTTTCAGCAGAACGACAACGAATCCCTGAATTTCGGCAAAGGTTCTGCAGCAGAGCGTTCAAGCTTGGACCCTCAGGACAAGCCAAGCACGTCAGTATATAAATAAAAATAAAAAATAAAAAAAAATAAAAAATAAAAAAAGGAAAAAGGAAAAAGGAAAAAGGAAAAAAAGGAAAAAGGAAAAAGAAAAAAGGAAAAAGAAAAAAGGAAAAAGAAAAAGAAAAAAGAAAAAGTGTCAGCGACCTCAAAGCATCGGAGACACTTGCTGTTCCGCATTGCTTTGCTCCATCAGATCGACAACGATCATCTCGCTGCCTACACCGACATCATCTCAACTAGTCTACTTGCACCCAACTGTCAAATCAACACGCTCGGATCAACACGGTCCGCTCTCGTCATCGCAAACCGACACCTCCACAGGCGCACGGACGATCAGCAGCTTCCCTTCGTTCTTAGACCTGATCTTTGGGATCATTGCTCCAATTGTCGTCGGGATCATGCGCCGCTCTTTCCACCTTGACGTATCCTCGAAACCATCACCGATCGACCTTTCGCTCTAGACGGATGCAACTGATACCTTTCGACCCTCGATTCTTGCTGCGTGCTGATCGGAGCTAGCCATGAGTCAGTCCGGCGCTCGCAGAGCCTACCAATCTGGTAGCCAGGGCGGCGGCTCCACCATCAACCAGAAAGCTGCCCTTGCCTCCGCCTATCAGGAGCTTGGAAAGGAGCTCGCTTCCAGCAAGCTCAAGATGGTTGGTAACTACACCTTGCAGCGTCCAATCGGCGAAGGCACCTACGGCAAAGTGCGACTCGGCCTTCATCGCCTCACCAACACTCGCGTAGCCATAAAACAGATACCCAAGGCCCATTCCGCCAGCCTCACTCGCGAGATTCACCATCATCGCCGTCTCCACCACCCCAACGTCATGCAGCTTTACGAAGTCATCGCTACTGAGCAGTACATCTGGATGGTCAGCGAATTATGTGCAGGCGGTGAGCTCTACGATTATCTAGTCGAGAACGAGGTCCTAGCTGAGCCAGAGGCGCGAAGAATCTTTGGTCAGCTCTGCCTTGCTGTTGCCTACGTCCATAGCAAGGGGATCGTTCATCGAGATCTCAAGCTCGAAAACATTCTTCTTGACGAGCGCTGCAACGTTAAGCTTGGCGACTTTGGCTTTACCCGCGAGTTTGAGCGAAAACGTCTCATGGAGACCTTTTGCGGTACCACAGGCTATGCTTCGCCCGAGATGTTGGCAGGCAACAAGTACACTGGAGAAGAAGTCGATATCTGGTCGCTTGGCGTTATTCTCTATGCTCTGCTTTGCGGAGCTTTACCATTCGACGACGATGACGAGTCTATCATGAAGGACAAGATTCTCCGTGGCGACTTTGAGATCCCCGACTGTCTCTCCGAAGAGGCGCAGAGCCTCATTGCTTTGATTCTTCAGCACGAGCCGTCAAAGCGTCCGAGCATCGAGACTATTCTTGCCCATCCCTGGTTCACCAAGACCATGGCCCAATCGTCCATGTCAACAGTCGAAGAGGACGAAAACGCCCTCGACTATTTCGACAGTCGGCCGCTCGCTTCAACCTCACAGCTCAATGAAAGCGCTCCAGAACGAGAGCCAGTGGACGCCGCCGCCGCCGATGCAATCGCCACAACGAATAAGGACGCCATTGGTCACGCCAATGCTCGATCGGATCACCTGGCTGCGACACATCAGCATCATGCTTCAGCATCTGGAGTCTCAGAGGGCAGTTACTACTCTGCTCGCAGCGGTAGCGAGTCAAGTGACAGACGCTCTTCCAACACAGACCTTACTGATCCGACTACTGCCGACACTCTGAGCCGTACAGACGAAGTATCTGGACTCGATGATCTTACAAACACCAATTGTGACCCGTTCAACAAAAACCCGCTGGCCGCAGCTTCGATAGGAGCCTCCGCATCCTCCTCCCAACCCAACAAGGAGACCATTGGCCTACATCGCAACGAGTCACAAACCACCATCAGGCGTTTAGGCTCCAACGGCAGCGATGCCTCTCTCGGCGCTGTCTCGAGACCCTCGATCAAGTCCACTTCAATGTCTTTACCAACTCATCACGAGCTGCCAACAAGCTCAGATGGCAAGTCGGGCGATCTATACATGCCAATGTATCAATCGGTCCCACTTGTCAAGAGAGGATCCCAAAGCTCCTCGCGTGGTCATCATCGAACACCCTCCAGGACCAAGCGCCGTTCCCTCTCCTCTTCAGGACTTTCAGATCATCACCCGCCATTGCTCGGTCGCAAGCCAGTCGACTACGTCTCTCAGCTGGCCCATCTTCAACCTGCCACCTTCTGCACAGCTGTAGAGCAGGACTTGCTCCATCAACTCAGCACCCTTGGCATTGACGTCGGTCAAATGGTCCACAGTGTTATGACGGATGCCTGCGACACGAGCGGCGCCATGTGGTGGATGCTTCTGCGCAAAGCCAAAGATTGCCAAGCACAGCAGCCTCTCGGCACCGTGCCCGCCACCGAAAGCGTCCAAGCAATCATGGAGCAGCCAGCTTTAGCAGCGACAACGATGTCCAGCAGGACAGATCAAGGTAGTGAGGTATCTCACTTGGATGGTGTTCCTCCGCCCCCGGTGCCTGTCAAAGACCCGGCAAGACGTTCCGAGGATCGATCTCGATTAAAGGAAAGGTCTCGCGCTTCCTTGACAGCTTCCAAATCTGAGAACACGGGCCTCTCAGAGAGTGGCTACCGCCGCCTGCAGACTGTCGTCTCACATGAGGTCCTCGACGTCTCATCAGGTCACTCTCTACAAGCCTGGGCTTCGGGAGCCGTGATTGGAACCGCACCAGCCGTACTGCCTGTGTCATCCGCGTCGATATCGGAACTGCCGGTCTCGGCGTCGGTCTTCTCAACACCACCGCCACGCAATGATCGAAGCTTGACCAGCACGCCCGAGTCCACGAGTTCGCCGCGACCCAAATCCCAGCATCGCCACACCACCGTAGCCTCGAGTCCGTCCAAGCTACATCAAATGGCGAGCAGCTGGGTAGGCGGCAGTCCGACGTCAGAATCCTCGAAAGGCCGACGCAACTCGCACGCAGATCGTCCTCGCAGCAACTCGTTGTCAGTCAAGCAGCTCGCACAGAGCGTCCTGGGCACCAAAGACAAGGCGCAAGCCACTCCACCCTCCACGCAGCCTCTTGATCAAGTCATCGTCGCAGGCGAGGCGCTGCCGATGGAGAGGGCAAAGAGCCCAACTCTCTTTGGCCGTCGGAACACTGTCTCCAACGTCAAAGACTCTATGGTTGGTCGGCGTTCGAACCCGTCGACGCCAAAGAAGGCCACGGCAGAAGTCGTTGACAAGCCCCGTAAGAGCATGGGCAAGAACAGTATCGAGACTGACCTCGATCGAGTCAAGACGCTCGATCGTAGCGTTAACTCTGCTTCAAGCTCGCCTTCACGATCTGGACTTTCGCTTCAACCGGCATCGGCATCAACACTCACTGCCGTCACCCCTGCATCTGAAAAGAAAGATGCTGCTGTGCCATCGGCGTCCCAAGACTCGTTCAGTACCTTGTCGAACGTGCCGAGGGGAAGCGAGAAGAGCGGCGCACGAGGCAAAGCCAGTTCTTCGTTCATGGCGACGGTGAGGACATGGCTCGGCGGCGCAAACGAAAAGCCGACACGCAAGTCCAAGGCAGGAAAGAAGGGCGCATCCCATCGTGGTCTGGGGATTGATGACGGCACGAGCGCCGGAAGATCACCAACAAGCACGCTAGGAACATCAGGTAGCGTGCCGACACTCGTAAATGGCACGCCCTCGCGCAGTCCCAGCATGCGCCGCAAATCGGCCCACTACCAGCAGGCGTCTGTTGTAAGACGTGGTGGGCCCCGGAGCCCTCATTTGGGCAGCATGAGCCGGCGATCTTCCAACGGTAGCTCGCATCATGGCCACCTTGATCTGCCTCCCAACAGCTTCTCGCAGAGCATGAGTCGCCCGGGCAACATGAGGAGGATGAGCGCAGGAAGCATCACACCAACAGCCACCCTGTATGGCGACTATGTGAACGACATTGGGGGCGCAGCTGCTTCCTCGCGACATAGTCGACCTTCGAGCTCGCATTCGCTTGCGCGCTCCAATGCTGCGCCTCGCTCTGGCCTTCATGGCAAAGCCGACTCCACTGGCAGCACGAGCTCAGTGTATCGACCCGGTCAAGCCAGTAGCGCTTACTCCACCGGAAGTGGACGCCGACACCCGAGGCCGAGCCATGATGGAGGCACGACAGTACGACGACATCGAGCCTATGCCTCTTCGTCCGGCAGTCCCAGTCGTCGCAACTCATTCCGACACGACTCCCGGCCCTCATCAATCAAATCGCGTGCCTCTTCGCCCAGTCGTGCTATGGTCGGGCTCAGTGAATTTGGTGTTGATACTGAAGTAGATGGTGATCTGAATGGATCCGGCGCAAGAAAATCCACCCGCAGCACTCCTCGTCATTCCCTTGAGCTTCGCAATCTTTCGGACTCTCGCAAGACCAGCGACACTCTCGAGCCAATCCATCCGCAGCACCATCAGGTCGTGGCCCAGAGCATCTTTGTGGCTCACAAGTCGCGGTCGCCGTATCGCCCGCCTTCTGCTAACTCACATCTGCATGGCAGTCTGACTCGCGGGCAGCCGCAGGCCAATGTGAGAGCTGTAAATACGGATAATTCAGTTGCTGCTGTACCAAGCACTTCGACAGGACTTCCAGCTACAGGTACGGGTACATGGCGACATTCTTGGGGCAGACCACCGCCTTGTTGGGCCGGCCCCGTGGATCCACCGCCAGCCGAAAGCGAGGGCGGCGGCACGGCAGGTCTTGGAGACAGCAACAAGCCCAAGCTTCGTGATGTGTTCGCGCACCGCGATGACGATGATTGGACGGACGAAGACGAAGAGCCCTCCTACTCTGGCGGTCTGGGCCAGATGGGCTCTTTGTCTTCCATGACCAATAACGCAGAACGTAACTGCACTGCAGCGTCTTCATCTCCTTATGCCACGCGCAATTTCGCAGCTCTCGGCAGCGGCCAAGGCACTGGCAATCTTAGCACAGATTCTGCTGTGAGTGCTTTCCGTGGTGCCGCACCTTTCTCAGCACGCTACGCTGGAGTGCGGAACATCTTCCAGAATCAGCAATCAGGGCCGGGATCTGGGTTCAGGTCATCTCATCATCCAGTGTCATTAAGCTTGGGCAACGAATTTATGCCGAAGCTACTGTCTGCTACTCTGCATTCCCCGACCACGTCTCAACCGCCAGGGGTTAGCCTTGGAAGTGTGGCTGAGAGCGCAGCGTCGACAACTGCTGGTAATGCTACAACAACAGGATCAGGAAAGACGGATTCACCCACGCAACAGAGCCAACAGCAAACAGGAAGCAGAATCACAGGAACCTTCCACAAACCCGTGCAGATCATTGAGGAGGAGGAAGAGGAGGAGGAGGAGGAGGATGAGTGATCACTCACTGACGCCTTCTTTAGAATCATCACTCATACAATATACCCAATCTTTATACCGTCCTTCCTCATTTCTGGCCGTCGTTGATGCTGTCAAGTCACTTTCACGTGTTCATTCACGAGGATCTGAGCTGAGCAAGGCCGCGCTTCAACATTGCTCTTGAGCCACACGTTATTCTTCGCCATCACACTTCTGGCAGCAAGCCGGCAACTGAAACAGACATCAAAATTGAGGCAAAGAGTATAGATTCGCTACTAGCACGAAATCCTCATCTACCAGCCGGCCTATCACTCTCCATAGACAACCTTCCTGATAACATCCAACTCTCCATCCTTCCATGTTCCCTCCTTAGCCGCAGCCTCTACCGCTCTCACCGCCTCTTCCATGTGCTGTTCATTCGTCGCACCCGAAAGCACCGTCACCCTCAACCCTGGAATATTCATCCCACTTGCCAAGAAACCATATACCACTTGCTGTGGAGTCCATCCTTTTTCTATCGCCAGATTCTGGACTTCCACCGATGACAACAGGTTCGGGTTTCCTGTAAGACTCCAGAATGGCTGATACACCACTCCTTTCTCCCCCTTTGTGTATGAATTTGGTGAGAGGGTGGGAGAGAGAAGGGATAAGAGGGCAACATCGTGGCCAGTGGTGTAGTGCCATCTATTCTGGACGACGCTTGGTGGAATGCGAGTTGTGCGGGCGATAGCTTGGAAGATATCTGGATTGTATACGTTGCTTATGCCTATTTCCCTCACTAATCCGAGTTGGACGAAAACTTCCATGCTTGCCCACACTTTCAGTGTCCTTTCCAGCGTCGTAAGGGGAGAGTGAAGAACGTAGCTATCCACCCAAGCCTCCCCTTTCTTATCGCCATACTCCACTCCTGCATCCAGCTCCCCACCTTCTCCTTCTTTCTCCCAATTCTGTTCGATCTTCTTCGCAACTTTCTCCAGCGGTTCAAACTCCAACCAAGGATGTAAATTTCTTAGACTCGCAGCGAAACTCTTCCTCACCTGCACTTCTACAGGTTCATCATGACCAAATGGAATTAACTCCGGATGTGACCAGTCCTGACCGGAGCGAGGTGTGAATTTGGTCTGGAGCCAAAGCGAGTCTCGTTGAAGATCCATCTCAGTGCTTGCAGTGAGGAGTGCTTGACCAACATGATCTTCTCGATAGTGTTTGCGTTGACCGGCGGTGTCGATTCCGCGAAAACCGTGGGTGAGCGCCAGAATGACCAGGTCGGATGTGTAGTCGCCTTTCCAGGCTGTGCCGTAGAGGAGTGGTGGGATGGATGAGAGGGTTGAGCGTGCCATTGGAGAGGATAATGAAGGTGCGGAGGTTGAGGAGGAGGCGGAGCTAGAGGCAGTTGCCGAAGTCGAGGCTTGAGCCGAGGCCATCTTTGCGATCTTGCTCTGCTTCAGCGATGGACGTGCGAGCTGTGTGAGATAGTTGTTGGAATGCTGACTTAGGATTGATGCGGTCGGCGGGAGGTGAAGCGACCGAACAGAATCAGCACGAGCGACCGAGCTAGACGTGAAGGTACGGGTGGTAGTGGCGGCACGCCTCGTTGCGGCCAGAACAAGGCGTGGGCTGATGTTATTAATGATGATAGCTGTTTACGCAGTGCAAGCTGCGCTCGATACAGGCGTTGATGTCGTAGAGCAGTGATATGTAGATGGGAGAAGCTGAGGTTCAAGGTCATACCCAGCGAAAGGACGTGCACATGGAATCCTGAGTCCGCTCCGCATTCCGAAAGACTTGACGTGCTCGAGCTGCATCCTTGCGTTATTCCACGTTCCCGATTTCGGCTCACACACCATCTCAGATCTCTCGCATCCACGCTGCTCAGTCCACAGTCACAGCACTGCCCAAAGGATGGCAGCTCCTATACAGTATTTGAATGTCCATTGTATTCGTGAACAGGCCGGCAAATCGCATCAATGTGGTGATATATACCTGATGACCAGTTGCTTAAGTCTTACGGAAGCATCGAGTAGAGTTACGCTTGAGCCAGTAGATCACGCATCCCACGAAACGGAAAGCCGACAGTCCAAATGTGGCCCACAAGATGATCTTGAAGTACGTCGACTGCTTGTTGTTTTGCTCTTGCTCAATCTGCTTCGAGGTCAAGCCATTGTTCACGCCGTTGACGTTCTCGATTGCCACAGTCAAGGCACCGTTGGTGAGCAGCCAGAACGCAACAAGACGAGTACGGAAAGTCTTGTTGCTGTCGTCCATCGTTGGCATTTCGATCGTTTCCTGGGGCTTGTAAGGTGCCACGGCTCGCGAAACGACCGACTTGAACGTCTCATCGATATCGTCCTGGTGTCGTTCAATTTCCTCTACAGTACCAGGCTCGGTGTTCTTGTCCTTCTTGGTGTCGACTGTTGGCAGGGCATCAGCTTTGTCCGATCCTTTTGTTCCCCAACTGACATCGTGCAAGTTGCAAAAAGCATAGACGTTGAGAATGTTGATGAACGAAGGAGCAATCAGCATGTACTGGGGGAACGAGGTGATCATGTGCCAAGGATCAGCGTACAGAATCGAGGCGATCAGATAGATACCAAACGTCGCAGCTAGTGCCGCGATCAGCACACCTGTGGTCTGATTGAAGAGCGTGTGCCACAAGTTGCCCGATAGCTCCGTCGCAATCAACGCCTTGATTGTCAACCAGAGTGAAGTGAAGATCAGGTACAGACCGAGGATACCAAAGACGATAAACGAGATAATGTAAGTTGTCTTTTCACCCTTCGGCCTGTTACCTAGCGCAAGAACGAATTGCAGACCGAGGAAAAAGACATAGATCCATTTGGCGGCTTGGTTAAACCAGTGGAAGATGATGAGCGTGGTTTGCGAAGAACCCCTGAGGAGTTCGTCGGGCAAGAACTCGATGATGATGGAGAAGGTGAGCCAGAGGTTGGCGAGAGCGAACCAAGAGAAGATGAGCACGAAAGCATTGTAAAGAGCCTGAAGATGGAAGAAGAAGAGACGAATGATGCCGTGATTCGACTTGTAGATGCGGAAGAAGTGAACGAGCGAGTAGATGGAAGCAGCGAAAGAACCGTTGAGCCATCGTCGACGCTGTGAGATCAGCTCGGCAGCACCTTCGGGCACATCTGTTTCACCCTTCGATGGCTTGACATACGTCAGCGTCCACCTGTCTCCTGCCTTGGCGACAAGCTCGAAGCAGAGAATACGATCTTCGGCTAAGAACATGTTCTTCGTGAAGATGTCCATGCCATGCAAACCCTTCTTGCTCAGTCTGTCGGCTAGAGTGTGGTCACCGTGAAAGTACTGTTGCAGCGGTATGCCCTGAATTGCACGGAATCGGTAGGCACTGAATGCACCGGGAAGCACACTGACGTATCCAAAAGTGGACTCGAGAGGCTTGTCGAGAATGTTGGACATCTTGTACTCAAAGTTCTGGGCAGCGACGAGGGGGTTGATGAGCTTGCGACCGTTCTTGATCATGGCATGAATCTCACCACAAGCACCGCCGAGGTTGGCGTTGTTGTAGAAGGCTTCCCATAGGTAGTAGAGCGACTTGTGACCAGGCTTGGTACCAGCATCGATGAGGACGCAGAGTTCGGGTTGGAGATGTCGACCAAGGGCGTTGAAGAGCCAACGATGACTGTTGATCTTTTTGCTGTTCTTCTGCTTGAGACAGAAGATCATCTGGACAGGAACAAGGTTGGAGGCGTCATCATCGTGGGGCTGAATGAGAGCAGGAGTGGGGTCAACTGAAAGCTGAGTGGTGTACTCGAAGAGATGGGCGACAGTGTCCTTGCCATCGACTTTCCGCTTCATGATACCATCCTGGTAGACACCGACGGTGGCGAGAAGGTCGAGCACCTCCTTGTCACATGGGTCGATACCGTCAAAGATGAGACTGACGACGATTCGCTGCCAACCTGGTCGGCCTTCTTCGGCGGATCGTCTCCAGAACTTGGAAGTCTTGCTCTTGCAAATATCGCGGATGTTGAGCATGACACCGTGAAGAGTTCGTGCAAGCAGGATGCGGTCTTCGTTGTAGTAAGTGATGGCAATGAGCAGCTCCGTGTCACGTCCGTACTGCTGGGATGTTCGCAAGCTCCATCCATTCTCGAGTGTGAACTCGTCAGGATCGCAGGTAGCCGCAGTGTAACGCATGTGTGAGAACTCTTGGGTGCGGCTACTTTGAGCCCACTTGGGTTCGGCAGAGTTCTTGACAGCGGTAGGAACGGGGTGGTCTACGATCCAGTGACCTCGCGTGAGCTTGACTTTCTTGGTGAGACCTCGCTTAGGAGCTTGCTGACGCTCGGCCCAAGCAACCTGACTGGCACTGTCTTCCGGACCAAGGTCGGAGGAGTACGAGGATGGACCTCCGTACGGCGCTGCAGTGGGGAAGCCACTCGGAGGGGGCAAGTTGTAAGTGCTGTTGCTGGCACCAGAAAAGCCATACTTTTCGTCTGCAGAATCTGTGAGAGGAATCTTGTCTTCCTCGTATGAGTAGGTTGCGTGTCCTTCCGAGGTGCCAGGAGCAAGGGTCTGGAAGCTTGGGTTCTCGCCTGCATAGAAGGGGTTCTCCGGGTGCATGTTAGTGGAGCTGCCGTAGCCGCCCATAGGGTTGGCGTAGGGCATGTTGGGTTGTCTCGAAGGGTCATCCTGAATGGGTTGGAAGCCGTTCCACCAACGTCGTAAGGAGGACATGACGAGAACGTGCAAGGGATGCCGTGAAGTCGTAAGGCCGTCGCAGAATGATCGATCGAGGGTGATGAGATAGCAGTCATATATAAGGTGTCAGTGCTTCTGCAAGCTCCAGAGCTTGAACATGGCCCACTGCATCGGCGGATGCTGTGCCGCGCTTTGACCCAAGACAGCGGTGCAGCGGGAATCAGCGTTCGAAGGTGGGTTGCGAGGTGAATGAAAGAACTTACAGAAAGTTGGTAGGATCGCTGCTGGCGCTGTCCACGAACCTGGCCGGGCCGCATTGGATATGCGTCGTAGCTCATGATGCCGGTTTGGTTGGTGGGCGCGTGAATGCAAAGTCGCGAATCTTGCTCGTTGGTCTTCTGTATGCGTGATGATTCAAGTGGGGGACGGCCGTTGGATTCCGTTGGCACTCTAGGGGTGATGCTTTCGTCCTCCTCGGCCTCCTACGATGGTGCGTATATGAGAGTTCGAGGCCTGTGGGATTGTGGCGAATGAAGACCTCGTCACTGGGTTGACTGGCAACGAACTCTTTATCCAAATGATGGGAGGTGCGGAAAGAATTTCGAAGATGGGAAACCGTCGTGGGAGCGAAGATGAGCAGGGATGAAATGGTAGTAGGAAGAGGTGCTCGACGCTAGAACAATGAGGTGAGAGGGGAAGCAGGTTGAGAAGTGGTTGCTGATAGCAAGTGAGGAAGAAAGGAGGGAGGAGTCGAGAGCAGGCGGGGTTGGAGTGATCTATTCCATCTCAGATCTATTCTACGCATTCAAACCTTGAAAGCGGAACTGCCGATGCTGTTTGTCACTCTCACGGATATCCCGACAACTTGTTCTCAGTAAGATACTCAAAGTTGTGTGGTTGGTGGCTTCTCAACGCAAGAGGCGTTCAAAGCGTTCGGCTCCACCGATTCTCCGTTGTCAGCACAAAGATGGAGAAGAGGACTGCAATTATGCAGGGAGTTGGGCAGACTCAAGTTACAACAACAGCCGCGCAGAGAGACAGAGCGTGTTTCTTGCATTGACAGCCTAGGTAAGACGGCCGCCGATCCGACAAGACTCGACACCTCCTTGCTCTTGTTCTCGATAGAATTCTGTCTGCCCTTTGTCCTCACTCTCCCGCCTTTGTGCGCACGCGTTCACTTCCCGTTGCTGTCTATGCTGTCTAAAAACGCTGATACAACCGCACGCGTCAGACCAATGTAGCTTTCTCAGGCACACAACCTACGAGCTATCTCACTTGCATGCTTTTTCATTGTCTGCCATAAATCCAAGCTACTGCAACAGCGTCACACATCCAACATCCATCACGTACGCAGCATGCATCTGTACCATGCTCATGCTTTCCCGATCATCTGTGTGCTACCCGATGATACACCTAGCAAGTGAAAATTGTGAGAGGGTCAGATTTGGGTGCAGAGCAGACAAGCATGAAGACCAGCTGTGCGAAAACTGTTAAAAGGTGAGGAAGACGGCTCCCGGTGATCAACGATCGGTGATAGTCGGAGCACAGTATCGCTGCTGTTCCTGACTGCGGATTTCGGTATACTCGTTGCCAGAAAATCGGTACGCCACGGCCACTATACGCACTACGCCAACTTTCAAGGCTGTGCTCTTCAACGCCATATTCGTGGCAGGGGGTCCAAGCACCTCCATGTAAACTTCCGTTGAGCCCGCGTGTGAGAATATTTGCTGGCTGTATCATACAATTCCCCTGTTACAATAGCAACAAAGGGTCTTGCTTGGCTTGGCCGCTCAACAGTGTCTTTCATGTCATACACCCAACAAAGGCGATGAGAAAAGGGAACCCCGCACCGCGCAGATCCGTGAATGGTAATCACGTGACTTTGTCACGTGACGTGTTCCGTGGTCAGAGATTCTGCCAAGTCACTGCGCAGCTGCAGAATGCTTCTCTCCAATCACCACCATTCTCGCAGCTGCTTGCTTGATAGAATCTCGGCCTCTTCAAGTGTTTTTCTCACCCTGTATTCTGCGGAGTTGGAGGGAAACAAACCGTTCTTGACCAAGCCGAGGAGCTGACAAGGGGGATTATGTCAGCTTTGGTCAAGCTGAGTTGAGTCAAGTCCTTCTCTGGCTGTCATTCAATTCATATTTTTCTACAGTCACATTGAGAAGGTGTGTTTCTTTCCAAAGTCACATCAAGCAACATAGGCACACATGCATGCACACATACATGCCAGGCAGGCAGTCAGTCTGTGTTTGGCCTATCCTTCCTCCTTCCTCCTTCCTCCTTCCTCCTTCCTCCTTCCTCCTTCCTCCTTCCTCCTTCCTCCTTCCTCCTTCCTCCTTCCTCCTTCCTCCTTCCTCCTTCCTCCTTCCTCCTTCCTCCTTCCTCCTTCCTCCTTCCTCCTTCCTCCTTCCTCCTTCCTCCTTCCTCCTTCCTCCTTCCTCCTTCCTCCTTCCTCCTTCCTCCTTCCTCCTTCCTCCTTCCTCCTTCCTCCTTCCTCCTTCCTCCTCCTCCTCTTGTTCTTTTCCATAGGCTACTCCTTGTTCTTGTCAATCTGGCAGCTGAGTCATCTTGTTGCCTCATCTCAAGCCAAGGCAACTAGACTCAGCAACTCAAGCGTCACATTGGTGACTTTGGCTACAATGGGTGGGCTCAGCTTCAGCTTTGGCTTCTCTTCTCCTCTTCTTCCCTTCGACACCTCAGCCAATGATGAGTGGTCCAGGCTGGCTAGCTGGCCAGCTTGGATGAAAGCATCAACCTTCTCAAGCCTAGCCTGGTATGGCACCAGTGTTGCCCTTGGGAAAGGGAATGATGCTCTCTGGCAGGACTTGCTTGCTGCTGGCTTTTCATGGCACATATAAGGGGTCCAGATCGTTCTCTAACTCAGATCGTTCTCACATTCCAGACTTGCCCTTCCTTTCCATCGTTACAATCAGCATTCAGCCTGGCATTCTCTCAGTGATCTGTTTGTATTCACCTTGTATCTGTCAGGGGTCTCGTGCCTGAAACCCAGGTCGGTCTGTCGAGATACTCGGTGACTATCAAACTGTGCGACAGCTATTGTCTTGGTATCGGTGACTATCAAGTTGTGCAGTGGCAGCAGGTGGCGTTCATTGTATATACTATCATAGGTTTTGGCTGACCTCTGTGGACACTCCGTTCAGGGGTAGCTCGGCATGATCAATATCAATGCTTCGGTTATGATGACACCAAGGTCTGGTGTGAGTGTTGATGATGATGAGGTTGATGTCGTTGGTGATAAGGTTGGTGAGTGTTGATGATAAGGAGGTTGATGGTGTTGGTGATAAGGTTGGTGGCATCAACACAAGTGTCCAGTGTGTTGACTTGATGCTTGAAGTGACCCCCAGACCACAGTGGACTACTGCCTTCGGTTCTATCTATATCCAGACCGCTAACCTGCTATGGGCGCCTTCGGACATCAGGTAGTGGTGATACAACACACACACTACAATGAGGAGCAACCTTGATAGATTGCTGCTATGCTGACTGTAACTAATGAGTACTTATGTTTCTAAGTATTGACTAGTTGTATGGTGAGTAGAGTGGATGAGGATCCACTCGACCTATGATGATGAGAAAGCATGGTTATATACCTCTTCTCAGCATCGCCAGCGATGCTGCTCCTGCTCTCTCTCCAGAGAGTACCTTCTTCATTGAGTACTGCTCAGGGGCCTCTCCTGCTTGGCACCCCTGTGCCTCTTGAGCTGTGTCGACTCCTTCAACACTGCTCCTCCTCCTCATGACCTGGTGTCGACTCCTTCAACACTGCTCCTCTTCCTTTGACCAGTGACAGTTCCTTTGACTCTTGTCTCTCGAGCCCCTGAGTGGTAACCATCTGAGCTTGGTCCTTGAGCTTGGTCCTCTTCGTGGCTGTGCCTGCTCCTTGAGCTTGGTCCTCCTCGTGGCTGTGCTTGGCCCTCCTTTGCATGTGAGTCTGTAGGAGTCCATGGTCTCCATGGAGACTGCACTACAACCATGCTCTCTACTGGTCTCGACTAGATCTTCGATACCTGTGCTCCTTCCATATGAACCTGTGACCCCCCTGCTTCTTGAGCATCCAGGCCCATGACAGTATCCTCTTCTCTCTACCATGCCAAACACACCTTCGCATCCTCTTCAGGGATTTGGCCAGGTAGTGCCAACAGCAGCAACGCATGTGGGAAAGTTTGGTGACCACACCTCCCTTACAAAGGAGCACCTTTCCAGGTGGGCCAAGGAGGTATTGAATTGCTTTGATGACAATCCAGCCCTCTTGGAGTTGCACAAGAATATAGCTGAGGTGGAGCAAGACCTTATCAAAACATTCCATGCATGACACCTCTCAGGTGGTGCCCACATGGAGCATGCTGTGGCAGAGCAGTACTTGTGTACTTTTTGTGTCAAGGTTTTCCTCCCACACACTTACAGTCCTCACTCAATCATCACTGCTGATGATGTCCTCTTGTGCCCACTGTCAGGGGTCTCGCGCCAGAAACCCAGGTCGGTCTGTCGAGATACTCGGTGACTATCGAACTGTGCAACAGCTATTGTCTCGGTATCGGTCTCAATGAGCTTATCGCTCGGCGACTATCAAGTTGCGCGATGGGTGGCGTTCATGTATATACTATCATAGGTTTCGGCTGACCACTGTGGACACTCCTGTCATGGGCCTGGATGCTCAAGAAGCAGGAGGGTCACTGGTTCATATGGAAGGAGCACAGGTATCGAAGACCTAGTCGATACCAGTAGAGAGCATGGTCGTAGTGCAGTCTCCATGGAGACCATGGACTCCTATGGATTCACATGCAAAGGAGAACCGAGCCACATGCGAGGAGGACCAGGCACAGCCACAAGGAGGACCAAGCTCAAGGAGCAGGCACAGCCACGAAGAGGACCAAGCTCAAGGAGCATGCAGATGGTTACCACTCAGGGGCTCGAGAGACAGGAAGTCGACACAGGTCAAGAGGAGGAGGAGCAGTGTCGAAGGAGTCGACACAGGTCATGAGGAGGAGGAGCAGTGTCGAAGGAGTCGACACCACTCAAGAGGAACAGGGGTGCCAAGCAGGAGAGGCCCCTGAGCAGTACTCGATGAAGAAGGTACTCTCTGGAGAGAGAGCAGGAGCAGCATCGCTGGCGATGCTGTGAAGAGGTATATAACCATGCTTTCTCATCATCATAGGTCGAGTGGATCCCCATCCACTCTACTCACCATAACTAGTTATCACTTCAGCATAAGTATACATTAGTTTCAGTCAGCATAGCAGCAATCTATCAAGGTTGCTCCTCATCGTAGTGCGTGTGTTGTATCACCACTACCTGACGTCCGAAGGCGCCC